TTTATCCAACGTTTCGCTTTGAAATAAACGGTGTTACCCTTTTTTTTTGGAATAGTTAATTTTATCTTCATGCACTTTGGACGATTTAAACTCTCTTACCCATCCACATTCTGCTCACCTTGTGTCAAAATTATGGTTTACATATATAGAGTTGCGTTCCATGAGAGTTCATCGGGATGGTCCAAAGTGCAATAAAAATGTAAAATTACCTAATTTAATGCATTAACACGGTAAGATAAACAGGTAAAATTACCTAACTCTGGCAATAAAAAGTATCCTAAGCTGTAATTTAGTATATCTTCTATTATATAATAAAAGTCCATTAAACTTCCTACAAACACTCATAAGCCGCCACGTGGCGTCCTACAAACGCTTTTAGACTGCTACATGGCATTATCAAATCTCACCATCGATTTTCACTTAAATTGGTGGACCCGTCATTTTACACCATTGGATTAGATCTATTATTAAAGAAAATAATAATTATCTCTTTGTATGTATGATTTAAGCGCTACTACTACTGTCATGTACGTACAAGTTGATACGATGCAAACCACGTTATTCTCCCATACGTACTTATGTACACAAAAACAAAACAATAGTTTACGGGTGGGACTAATGCGCGAACATTCGCGATCCCATCACTGGAAAGAATGGAAAGAAAAGAAAAAACCATGCGCACGTACATAAAAAAAGACGACAGAAAAATACATCATAAAAATCGATGATCTTTAAAATATGGTTTTCTAAACTATATTACAGCACAAATATAAATATATATAGTTAAACTAAGATCTATAATAATATAATAAAATATCCAATCAATGTTCCTTGAACTATCTTCTAAATTATTTTTAAATTATATATCCAATTTGTGACTCCGTTGTATTCCTTTAATTAAATTATAAAAGTTATATTGTGGTCCTAAATACATCACGACACATGGAGCTGATATATAATAGTTAGTTGTTTGATAATATATTATATACTGAAAGTCCATTAAACATCCTAAAAGCGCTCTCAAACCATTAAAAATATGGCATTCTACAAACGTTCTCATCTCGCCATGTCTCACTCTAGCAAACTATAGAAAAAAAACATATAGCTGTCGATTTTCTACCATCGGATTTACTTAAAGAAAAAAAAAGAAAGGCCCACACCCCACTGTTACCATCCATTACGTTACGTTAGGTATATGTACGTAGTTATGTATCATCTATCCCTGTCCTCACCCTAATACATGAGGGCGACATGCCCTGCTATTTTCAAGTATTTTCTTAATTAATATTGGAAAACATACTTTGTAGTAAATTATTTTAAACAACTATACCATCTAAATAGCTATTTTTTATCCATGCACAGCATGAGATTATTTACAATAAAATTTAGAATTCAATACCTACATTAACTACATTTTAAAAGTAAAATAAATATATTTCTTTGGGTCATATACTGCTAGAGACTACCTATTGGTCACTCAATACATTTCGATTTTTAAACCATATGGTTAGCTACATTTAGCTTACATTCGTAAATACAACACCCGACATATTTTCTAATAAATCTAAAATTATATCTATATTCTAATATGTCTCAGAAAAAAAAATCTCCAACTCTCGTCCTGCTCTACATATACCTACTCTGATCCTCTCGCCTTATATTTTTTAACCAACAACCTAATATTAAAAAACATAGCTAAATGGTTTATAATTTCTAAAATTATATTTGATTTTTAATTTATTTCAACTATTGTTTTATTTACAATTAATTAAATAATTCAATATCCATTATAGTTGTAGTTTACTATATAAAAATTAAAATACTCCTTTGCAGGGAAACTGAATGAAAATAAAATTATAAAAGAATGAAAACATGTATTATTTCATATTAAATACCAATTTCACATTTTAAAATTATAAAATATTTCAATTAAATTGATGGACCCATTATTTTCAACCATTAGATTTAATTTACGAAAAATCTTACGCCGCCACGTGTCATGTCCTGAAAATCATAAATAATCTTAGAAATTTTGAGAAAAAATTAAACCTGTCATCATTAGTTTTAAGTTACATTATTTGGAGAAGTTATAAAAATAAATCGCATCTACCTCCTCGCTCCCTTCACATGTGTGCAAACCACTGCTAATCCCATCCCTATTTTTGGGTATGAGTAAACTAAAAGAGAAATAATCAATATATTAAAATAATCATAATTTTTAAGCTACACGTCTGATTTATAATATAATTGTTGCTCTGTTTATAATTAAACTAGGAATTTAAGATCTGTATCCTTATATTTTCCTATGTACAAAATATGACATTCAATCACATTCAGCCCGCGCGCTTTGCATACCATCCAAATATGATTGAAATACCTTAAACAAATTGGTTGCACATATTACATCACTATACATCGTTCAGCAAAACATGTATAACTAAATTAAATCAATAGTTATCCAAACAAAAATTACAAAGTGAACTATGAAACATTTTTTTTATTAAGGAAGAACACCCCTGCCCTTTTACATGTCATTTGAATTGATGTAAAATAATTACAAAATAATCCAATACATGTTGCATTATCATATGTTGTTTGTCAAACATGCATAGCTAAATTAGATATACACTATCTAAGCAAATAGGACTAACTAAAAAATGAAGTCCAAACCACCAATGCATAGAAAATCCAATGGCTTTAGTTAGAGAATATCTGATTACTTCATGATTTTTTTAAAAAAATGTGCTAAAATAATCCAAGCAAGCTAAATGATCTTTCGTGTATCTACTCTAAAATATGTTACCATCTAATTGACTTTAGATGGTGCTTAATGCACCTTTAGTATATCATTGATATATGTTCAAGCGTGTGTTGTTCTGGCCTTCTAAGCATTCCGGGTAATTCCGTTTATTTTCTTTGTGCATAGACCATTCAAAAGGGGCAATGACCACATCTCAACACAGTGAATAGGAGCTGCATGAAATCCTTATGGCAGGGAAAAGGAATAATGAATTTAGCTAGGTCTTACGTTTTTCACCAACTGGGCCCAAAGCATTCAACAAAAAAAAAGAAAAAAACACCTTGCTTTTAATTTAATAAATATATTTTTTCTAAACAAACTAGGTCTAACTCCTTTTTAGACGATGATGAAGATTATAGATAATTGCTTATACAGATTAATTAAATTCTATATAGTATATAGCATAGAGAAATTATCAAAGTGATGCCAACGAAGAATATTTGCTGAGGAAATGTACTTCCAAAACATGGCAGAGGCTATCTAATAAATATGATCCGTTTTCGAATGCAACGCATGACACATGCCCGCGCGAATGCGCGGGCTACCTTCCTAGTTTAACCTAAAGATGATTTCTTAATTACATACTCATAAAAAATACTAATACAAATTCACATAAAAAACAAATACTCCCTCTCAAAATTTAACAACTTGTAGCATTCAAAATTTATCCAAACTATAATAACTTCCCAGCATTCAAAATTTATCCAAAATATAACAACTTCTCCACCAATATTTTCCAACGAATCATAACCCTACACTATTTAATTTTCCCATCTATCTCTACTTCGTCTAAACAAATCACAATCTTTCCATATTTAATCTCACATTTTCTTTTATACCTGTGTCCAACTAAAAATTCTACGTTTTTGACACCACGATGTAAACTCGTGGTCCATGAGGTAGTAAAACACAAAAAAGAGAGAAGCGCAAGAAACAGTATTACATCACTAACAACACTTTTTTTTTGACACCACGATGACCAGCCGTCCAGCAATAATTCGACTGAGATCGATCAAAAAAACGTGGTTATTAAATTTTTTTTCAGCAGAGCTGTAAATACTAAAAGTGTGTTCAGTCTGGCATAATGCATGCCATGGGTAATTTTCCTTCAAGACGAAACAAATCGTACATTGAATAATCACGGCACACGTGGTTTAGGTGAGGCACCAGGTGCACCTAACAATTTCCACATGCACTATCCAATGAAACTTTGGTCCGGGCGAGTTGACCCTGACCTCATTCCTCGTGGCATGGGTCCCGTGGGCGATATATATGCGGCAGAGAGCGATACGGCAAAGCGTACTCCGAGCACTAGTCGATTGCAGTGCGTGTGGTGGCCCGAAATGCCGCGCAAAAGAACGACCAAAACTGTCTTCTTCTCGTTGATCGAAAGCTATCGATCGGCACGGCACTTGCCAAGCAAGCTTTCACAAACGATCGAGCCGCAATGTCTTCTCCTAGAAGCGTGTGGCTCGCCTCTCCTCTTTCATGGAATAACTGATATAAGTAATGGAGTTTTTGACAGAGCAATAGCGAGATTGCCACACGGTAAGATGAGATCGTACTGTATATTGATCAGCAGGAACAGGCAGGAGCCCAGGACTCGGTAGATTCTGTATTCTTGACCTCATGCATCAGTGGATCAGCAAAAGCCCTACATATCCTTATCCACAGGAAGCTGTGTGCGGTGGTCCTAGTGGAGATTCCGAGCCGATTGTCAGCGAGATGTTTCACTGCTGCTGCATGCCCCCGAGCATCAGCCATTTCAGCCCCGGCCCAGCCAAACAACACCCACTCGAGAATTTTTTTAAAAAAATAGTACAATTTTAATGAAAATTTATAAAAATAGATGTTGATTGTCTAAAATCACAGATTTAGCACATTATCGAATAACCATTATTTGACAGGGTTTAAAAAAAATTAGGAACTTAGGATATGTGTGTATGCATATGAGCGAGCTGTGAGACCTCGATAGGTCAATCAAGCCAATTAACATGTCAAAAGACCATTGTTCGACATGTAACTTATCGAACAATGGTTGTTTGATAGATACCTTATTGAAATATGATTGTTCGACTGGTTACTGAATATTTGATTTCTATCAACCAACACCTATTTTTACACTTTTTTTTATTAAAGTTGTATTATTTCTACAATAAACTGTCCACTCGATCTCCCCTTTTGCCCTCCAACTTGACGCGTCAATGGACAAAACAACAACAACAAAAAAAAAACAACGTGGGGTGTGAGCTCTCTGAACCTCCTAGCTTGCCCGAGACAGAGAGAAAAAGAAAGCCTCATCTCCGGCCCCTCTTCCTCCTTGATTCCGGTGGCTCGCCGCCGGTGACGGGAGGGAGAGGGGTCAGGCTCAATTGCGTCTCCTTCGTATAGTAGTTTAGTCGGGTTAGTCTCGTAGTCAAGTTAGTCTCGTTCTATGTCCTTCCTGTTCTTTGTCTTTGGTCCTCTATGAAGAGTCCAGTATTCCCTTCTTCAGATCTGAAATATTGTGGGTGGATCAGCCAGGGAGGTCGGTCTTTGCTGTGCCAGACCTCGATTTCGTCGGCCCTAGCGACGCCTGATTGTGGAAAATTCAGCTACAGTGCCGGTGGCCGAAAGTCTTCAAGCTTTGAGGTCGCTGGCCATAGTTTGCGGTGGATCTGGATGGCTTCAACCGATTTCCGCGACCTCTTTGTCCATCTAATCCTTGGCGCTGTGCCCTTCCTCAGCGATGCACTCAGCCGCGTCGTGTCCGGTGAGGGTGGGCTCACACATGCCCAGATCGTCGTCATATTTGGTGGGCTTGGAGGTGCAGAGTTAGCTGAGCTGTTGGAGCAGTTCGTGCTTGCTGATTCCTCTCATGCGAGCATCCCGAACATTGTCTCGACAGACAACACCTCCATCAATTTGCTGCTGTGCCTAAATCAATTATGCCTAAATCAATTATCCAAGCAGCAGCACAAGTCATGGGCCAGCAAGGAGCACGCCATGAATCCCCTGCATCATACAGGCAACCAACAAGCTACACAACAAGGCAAAGCTGGTCCAGCAATTCTGTGCATGCCGGCAACGAAGTCTCCTTCTCAATCCTCACCCATGGGATACATCTTAAGTTCGTAAGACTTTATCATCGCCACCATCTAGCTTCTCTAAAGCTTAAGGTCAGCTGGGTTTTGGATGCATCTTTTATTTCATTCCTTTGCAGCAGTATCCATGTTGAGGTTATCGTTCGGGTTGAGCACCGACTATCTGTTAGACTTTGGTCGGCAGGGATATTGTTAGTGTTCCTCAGATTTAACGATGACTTCCATGGCAATCATTGGTTGAGTCCGGTGAAGCCACCAACATATCTACGACTCAACTCCAAAGCTCAATTAGTGCCAAATCCGTGGAGGCAGCCGGAGGGATCGCTGGCAGGTCAAATGGGAAGCACGTTTGAAGAGGCCCTTGGGTGCAATCGTCGCGGCAATGCCGCGGATCTCCGACGATTGTATTCACTACTACTGCTGTATCAGATGATCTGGAAGTTTGCTTCCATCATTCAATCATTACCTTTCAGGAAGATGGTCCTTAACGTTTGTTGTTATCAATTTCTTGCAAGGTGATGTTTCAGGGAATGTTGTTCCCTTCCAATGTACTATGTTTAATATGCAATAAAACTTTATGAGTTTCAAAAAAAAAACAACGTGAAAAATCTTCAGTGCAGTGTTATTACAGCGCTCGTAGAAGCAGAAGCAGAGGCGGAGAGAGGTCGCACAGTTATGGTCACATATTCCGCAAATGGACTAGTAGTAATAATTCCATCTCCATCTGCGGCGTACTTGCCACTTTTCTTCGATCGGCACCACCACCTTGTCCCGTGCCGTCCTCATGCGGCGCGAGCTTTCTATAAATGCGGCCTCCGCTCCTCCCCGAGCTTTCACTTCCTCCTCCTCCCACTGTTCTTCGCCCTCAGCTCTCGCCGCGCCGCGCCCGCGCGTGAGCGGACTACAGTGTCAGCTTGCTAGCTCACAGGCGTCGCTGGCCGCCGCCCGCCGCGCGCGCGATCGGTGGCGAGGCGGAGATGCTGCGGGCGGCGAAGTACCTGCTGGGTTCCCCTGGCGCCAACGGCTTCGGCTCCAAGTCCACCGCCGAGGACGTCTGCCCCGACCTCGGCTGCATCACCGCCATCATCACAGGTGCGTTGCAATTTGCAGCGCCGGCAGAGCCGATCGGTCTCCCGTTTTGGCCTGATTGATTTGGTTTGTCATGCAGGCGCGACGTCCGGGATAGGGGCGGAGACGGCGCGGGTGCTGGCGAAGCGCGGGGCGCGGGTGGTGATCCCGGCGAGGAACGTGAAGGCAGCGGAGGACATGCGGGCGCGCATCCGCGGCGAGTGCCCGGGCGCCGACGTCCTCGTTCTGCCGCTCGACCTCAGCTCGCTCGCCTCCGTCCGCGCCTTCGCCGACCGCTTCCTCTCCCTCGGCCTCCCGCTCCACCTCCTCATGTACGTACGTCACTCTCACTGATCTCCTGTGGCCTGCTTCAATTCGCCGATCGTACGAGCTAAATCCATGGGAGCTAATAGAATAGCTTTTTTTGCATTTGTGCTCGTGCTTAATTCGATCGCCGGACGGATGGTTGCAGCAACAATGCCGGCAAGTTCTCGCATGGGCAGCTCGCTCTGTCGGAGGACGGCGTCGAGATGACGTTCGCCACCAACTACCTAGGTATGTACTCCTGCTACGTACGTACTACTCAGTATACTTGTATAAATGATGTATGGATCGATCGATCGTATGTTGTTCAGGCCATTTCCTGCTGACGAAGCTGCTGCTGGGGAGGATGGCGGAGACGGCGGCGGCGACCGGCGTGCAGGGCCGCATCGTCAACGTGTCGTCCAGCGTGCACAGCTGGTTCGCCGGCGACTGGGCGGAGTACCTCGACCTCGTCACCCGCCGGAAGATGTGAGTCAGCGTCATTATCTGTCGTCTTCTTCCTCCTCGATCTCGTGAACTCTCTGTCCGCTAAAGCTTGGCATGCATGTGTGTGGCGATCGCTGTAATCTCAGAGCTTACGACGCGACGCAAGCGTACGCGGTGTCCAAGCTCGCCAACGTGCTGCACACCAAGGAACTCGCCGTGCGCCTCAAGGTCCGTTCGTTTCGGCACCGGATGGAGTTTTTCGTGGCAGGTTTCTCACCTTTCCTTCCGTTTTTTGGGGGCTGTGTGGCTCGGTTAATCCCAACAGGAGATGGGCGCCAATGTGACGGTGAACTGCGTGCACCCGGGCATCGTCAGGACGCGGCTCAACCGTGACCGCGACGGCCTCGTCACAGGTGAATACTACTACTATTACTACTACTCTGTTTGATCCACTGTAATTCTAGCCGGATCAAACGACTTAAGAACAGATTAATTATTTTGGCGTTGCAGATCTGGTGTTCCTGCTGCTGTCCAAGCTGCTGAAAACCATCCCTCAGGTGATTAATTAACGTAGTACCGTCCACCAAATCTGTTAATTTAAGCCCTGTTCCATGTGTTGGGTCTCTCGCTCGCTCTGACTGCAGCTGCAGGCAGCCGAGCTGTGAGCTGAGCTTTGTGCTTACGAGTAATAATTGCACCGCTCATTACTAAAACCCGCGGCTCTTCGCAGGCTGCGGCGACCACGTGCTACGTGGCGGCCCACCCGAGGCTGGCCGGCGTGTCCGGCCGCTACTTCGCCGACTGCAACGAGGCCCTGCCGTCGCCGGCCGCCACCAACCGCCACGAGGCCGAGCGGCTGTGGCAAATCTCCGAGTCCATGCTGCTCTGCACGAACAGACACAGCAAAGATGCCTCCGCTCCCTGACACAGCTGACTGGCTAATCTTTACCGTATTTTACTACTACCCATCCTAAAATATAATAACTTTTATCTATAAATTTGAACAATTAAAAATACTTATATTTTAGGATGGAGGAAGTAGTGCATCACTGTCTTTTCTCTTGTTCCACATTACATATATACAGCTTCATGCAATATGTAACCTGCAAATATTATAGTAGTATGAGCACCAGTGTATAAATATATAGTAGTATATCTGTAGCATTATAGCAGTAGCAGCCAATTATATTAGTGATTGTATTTCCGAGATATATAATACTAGTATACAGTACGCTGTAATTTGTCCTCGAGTACCAGACATTGCCAGTGAGATTTGCACTCGGTGTCGTATGTGTGCCTTTGGCTTTGCTGTTCACCATGTCAGGAGAAAGCAGACGTGTCGAGATGCGGCACGCACGCATTGGAAACATGTACTGGTACTGGTACTAACCTTGTTGCGTGCAAGTACAATGTGCATGGTTGATTGGTGGGAGTTTTTGCATGGGTGGATGCATCTATGAATTGTCTTGTTCGATTGGATAGCTGGTTGTGATCCCCCATCCAAATGATTGCGCCCGTGGCTGGCCGCTGCCGATGTGGATGCTGCAGAAACCGAAGCCTCCTTTTGCGACTCAGAAACCGAAACCTTTTGTTTTTGTGCGACTTGGCATGGCAAACGACTGTGTCTTGGTGAGTGACCACTCGAAAAATTCGAGTTTCCCTTTTCTCCTTGAGAATCACATGCCACCGAAAATGGGGCAGTGCGTTCCCTATGGGACAAGAACTAGGTGATGTGTTTCCATCCAAGGAGGTACAGTGATAACATCAATTGTTATCCCTTTTGCAGTGTAATCAGATTAGAGTGCAGTGTGGGTCATAAGATGTCCTAGCTCAATGACAATGACAAAACTCTACAGCATCATCAGCACAAGGCTTCCCCAGAAAGTTATTATTACAGAGCCTCCAACCAGGGAGTAGCTTAAAACCTTTTGTTATTTTCAGATTGAGACTTGAGTCTACAAGTGCAGCCTAGAAGTAACCTTAGAGCAAGGTCAACAGTGCAGCCAGCTGTTTACTTCAATTTTAATCCATCTCACCTCCATCTCACCTATAGGTAACATTGTAGCTAGTAAACACAATAATCAAGCTATACTACTATGACCCACACTATACAAGAAATTTTATTTTAATCTCCCTTCTATCCCCACTCTCTCTCTCTCCTAATCCCTTGTTCTCGCCGGCGATTGCTTCTCACGAACTAGGCATCCAAGCTCATCCATGGCTAAAAAGATGAACAAATTTATGGCTATATACACATCCGTTTTGTACTATACATCTGCTCATCTACATGGAAGGAATCGGTACAGAACAATATATACACATACGTATGCTATTACTTCGCTTAAGCTATCTGATTTTTCTAGAGAAAGATGTTATTCTATTTTCTCCATCAGAAAATAGAAACAGCTCATCGTGCAGGCTCACGCTGCCCGTGTAGCTGGGGATAGAGCGAACGGGTCACCGGAGCTGAGCTCATCGTCTGGCGACCGGCGTTGAGCTGGCCTTCTGCACGCGGAACGGTGGAAGATAGAAGTTAAGCAATCGGGCAAACCATCAAAGCCGATTCATAAGCACAAGGCCTCAAAACTCAATCCAAGCTTTTGTGCTCTCTTGGTCTCTCTCTCCTACTTGCCCTCCATGGCCACGGTGGACGAGAGCCGCAACATCGACCGACGAGGGCGAGGGCAACTGCATGACGGTGGCAGCCGTGGCCGAGGCAGACGAAATTGGTGGCGACAGCTGCGGTGGACAAGGTCGGCGGCAGCGACATACAGAGGCGACGAGCACGGTTGACAAGGACGAGGGTAGCGGTGGTCACAATGGACAAAGGCGGCAGCGGCGGCGGACGCGGACGTGCGCGACGATGGTGGCGCGGCCCTGGACTTGGTGCTCCGACGCAGGCAACGGCGAGTAGCACGGGTGCATCGTTCGCTACGGGCGGGCCCACGTCCTCGGCCCATGCATACAGCCGGGCGACTAATTAGTCGCCCGCTTGCGCCCTCTCCCCTCCCCTCTCTCCTCCAGTTCAACAGAAAATCCTACGTGGATCTTCTAACGCCCATTATTGTACCTGCTCTTAAGGGGCAAGGAAGGTTGACCGGAGGGACAGAAGAAGGCATGCCTATTTTAGGTGCAATTTAATAGGGTCTTTTCTCTCAAAGAGGGTCTGCTTCTCTTTTTGGGGATATGAAAACAATATGAGAGTATTACTTAAAAAATGATGAGTGATGTTCATAGGTTCTACGAAAAGTAAGCATCACTAGTAACAAGCTCGTCAATACATACCACTTTAATGATGCATTCGGCAAAAAGAGAGAAGATTGTGACATGTAACCTTACTTGTGTAGTGCTAAGTGAGGATGGGTAGCTGTACATGGCCCACATCTTCCAGGCCTTTAGACCAGCAGCAAGGCCCAGTAGGAGGAAGGTGGCCAATAAAAATGATTGCCAAAAGATGAATCCAAGCCACAGGGTAAGGCCTTCTCAGCCTTTGAAATGGACCTGCCATTAGCAACTTGAGGAGGAGGGCCGGTCTTGCGGTTGACCTCAACCAGACACCCTTTTTTATCAGCGAAAGTAAGATAAAAGCGTTCCTTGTGTGCGCTGCAAAGCGTCAGGATGAGACCTCAATTCGGCACAGCCGAAATGCTAATGCTGGACTGACTGCTGCTACCTTGATGACTTTGAATGAAAAAGAAAAGCTGGAGACCCAATTAAACAGCCACATTTGACCCCTGCTCTGCCATCAGCGCAACTGCAACGGAGACCCAGAAAGGAGCGAAATGTCACATGCTGCTCTAAGATGATTGGAAGAAGATGTTGCAGTCCAGTCTCTGTTTGGATGAAACAATAATTCACTGCCAAGAACAAGAAAAGACGATATGTAGCATTATCAAGACCAGCAGAGAAACCTGCAGCTGAGTGCTCGGCTCAATCAGAGCATGCACAGAACAGAGAACAGTTTCCTTCTGCTTTCATGTCTGCAATGAGATAATGCGATTGACAACTTTTCCCTTGTAGCAGGAGCAGAACTGTTCATAACCATCAGCTGCGCAGTGCACACCACTAGCCAGTGCTCACTGGAACCACGACTTGAAGACGTATCGGTCAATATATTGCTTTCCGCAGCAAATAGATCATGTGATGTGTTTTTCTTATACATGGAGATAACAGCAACTAACTTTTGAACGCTGCATTCATGGCCTGGCCAGAGTTGATCTCCAGCAGACCGGCACCTCCAGCTCTGCTCATCAATGTATAACGGTGAACAACACACTTCAACGCCTCACGCGTATGCTGATTTATGGCTTATAGCTGGAGCTTTTGTTCAACCCCATAACTGCCACAACAAGGGCAATATGCATCTGATAGTGTCTTGTCTAAGCACAAGGAAGGCTGAGAAGCACAGAGGTTAAAGGGCCGGGCCATATGCCCATAGCAGGGAGAAGAGTTTGCCATGCCTAAAACCACAATGACCTTACTTGACATTGACACAACAAACAAGCCTAGAAGGCCAGGACAACATCCATGGTATGGCATTAACATTCCTGTAAGGAAACTGGAATACATAAAATATCAAGAGAAACAAGAAAAAATGACTATGTACAGGCAAGAGTTATAGTAGTAGTATTTATTTGCACTGTCCATTAATCTCTGATTTATTTGTACTGTATTGACTCTTTTTCCTCCCTCTGTTAACGAATAACATATGCAGTTTGATGCGGACATCACTAACTCGGATAGACGTGGTGCTGCGATTGCGGGGCTCAAGAGCGTGCGCGTTCAAGAAGCCGGATCGATTTGTGTCGTGACTCCGCCCAAATCGTTGTTTATCAGAACCTTTTGGAAGATCGGGAACCCTAGTGCACATCACAGTTCCCCTAAAGTTTGCTCGGAAAAGAGAGGTACTAGTAGACCTGCATCATCCATGTTCACACCAAAGGAATTCAAATTCTACTGTCACTAAATTAAACATGCACCATACAACACGCATTCGGAAGAAATCATAACACCACAGTTCAAAGATAAAAGGGTAACTCGTTTTCTTTTTTCGAGGGAAACAAAAAAGATAAACTAGTTTATCTGGACAATCTATGTGTTGGTTCCTACCTGAAAAGGTTCAGGTGTTTATAAGGGAACTTGAGGAACGGTTCCCTCGTTTTATAAAAGATGAAAACTTGAACATGGAAATTGGTTCTCTCGGATGCCACAGGTAGCTGCAGTTCTGCAAGCTCGTACCCAGCTAAGAAGTGGCTAGATGGATTAGCATTCTCAGAAAATAACATTCCTTCAATAACAATATCCATTCAGCTTATAAGTTCAAGTCAACTAAACTTATAGATGGTAGAAATTCTGGCGATGTATATCCCAAATTGCTCCAACCTAAACATTCTAAATGCTAGAAAACATACTCAAATCAAGACAACTTTCTTACCATGATAAATCCACAAACAAATTTGGAGCTGCAATAGAATCCGCAAACAGTCATGGGCTAATTTTTTCGGCCATCCAACTGTTGGTCCCATCTCCCTTCTGGTTTCTTGTGAACATTAACCTTTGATTGCTTTTCAAGTTCAAATAATCGACCTAAGTACAGTATAACAATTGCAGGATCAAAGGATTGCTGACAAATAGCACTAAGAAAGCATGAGCAAACATCAACATCTTTCTAGATCCAGCAAAAAGTCGAAAATAGCTACCTACCTTTTCTGGATCAAGAACCAGAAGGCAAAAGGCATCTACTGGACCAGCTGATGGATCAAGATGAGCATCCTTAATGAGATCATCATCCGGAATAGGAAGACCTGGGCATGGTCCCAAGTACTGCAATCTCGATTTTACTGAGCTTCCAAACCAAGCTCTCTCTCTCAGCTGTGTATAGAAATGGCAACCGATTTTAAATGAATCAATGAAAGTAGAAAGAGAAAACACAGTAACACTTCTGAGATGAATAAACCTCAAGGACTGTTCTCTTCTGCTTAATGGATGAATGGATTAACGGGCACGCTTCCTAAACTCCTAAACGGTGCATTTTTCTCAAAAACTCTCTATATGTGAATTTCTTAGAATACCGATTTAAATCACTTTTCCAACTTTATAACAGTTAATTCATTTGTTTGTACCATCGAATAAATATCACAAATCATTCATTTATTCAGCCATACAGCGCAAAAGAACAAAATACTATATGTTGCACAACCAAACGTGTGCACTACAGTTATGCTTCTGTCTCTAGGACATTTGGCATTTCCACTATACAGACCACTACTAGATCAGAGCACTAAGGCAGTATGCTATACTGGTTCTAACCTGTAGCTTGACAGGTTCGGGGTTTGAACCATCAATCACATCTATGAATCCGCTGATACGGAATTGTTCCCAAGTGTCAGTAAAGTACCAACATATCTGCAAGGCAAACAAAGTTAGAAATTCATCTGTAGTCATTTCGCAGTTGTAATAATGCAATTGTTCTTTCGTGATTCGTGAACCCTACTCCATCCGTCCCAAATCTCTATATCATACCTCACCAAAGGAGCAATTCCTGATCTCACCAATCTGTTCAAAGCACAACTCACATCGAGACATCCAAGGAGATCATCAGTGAGCGGGAACACTCCTGCAGCAATACATTGTAGATACGAATTTCACAAGCACATGAATTAGCAGCACACCTTATTGCTTCGTGCATCCGTATTAATCTGAATCTTATCAGATTGCTCCTGGAACCCCCTAACATGACCAAAAATTTCCCGGGTCAAAACCAGTGCAAAATAAAACAAAATTTGAGGGGAGCAACGCCCGCGGACACCTGAATACGACGGTGCGATTCGCCGGCCTGCCGCCGCCACCCACCGTGGCCTGAAACCAAGATCGTTTCACTCGATTTCCTCAAAACGATAGATTGGGGAACAAGCGGATCGGGAGGGAGCGTACGAGTTGGAAGAAGGTGGAGTGCTTCAAGTGGGCATTGCCGTCCAACGCTCGCTGCAGCAGCGACCTCCATGGGGTCGAGAGCGCCGACGCGGCGGCGCCACCGCCGGCCATCTACTCCGCCGCCCGCCGCCTCTCGTCCTCTCCCCCTCCGGCCTCCGCGCACGCGGTCTCGCTAGCGCCACGCGGGGATGCTCTGCTTTGCCGATGTTGGTGGGAGGCGTGTGCAGATCAACGGACCAGATTTGCCGAAACGATCTCCTGTGGGTCCCACTTGGTCAGTGGGACGAAACGGGCTAGGAGATGAATTTTAACATGGGCTTACACGTCAGTGACTGAAACAGTGGGGCTACGGGCTATGTATAGCGTTTACCCACTCGTTAAGGGTCTGTTTGGGGGAGTTTCTAACAGCTGCAGCTTCTCCTAGAATCTTCAGTTGGCAGAAACTCCCCCAAACAGTCCAGCTATTTACTCAGATTCTGAAAATATGTAGTTGTAGAATCTGTAAAATGAACTAGAAGCCAGAAGCTAGGTTTCTCAGCTTTTTCAGATTCTCACCAGGTAGCTTCTCAGCAGCAGCTTCTTAGAATCTCAAGCTCCCCCAAACAGGACCTAAATCATCTCATAACCGTATCATCGTATATAACTGATGGTATACATAGGCTCGGTTCCTTTTTTTTTTCCAAAAAATGACACATCGAATCTTTGGACAGTTAAGGGGGAAATTGTGAGACGCATCTTTTTGAGCCTAATTAGTCCATGATTAGCTATAAGTGCTACAGTAATCCACATGTGCTAATGACGGATTAATTAGGCTTAAAAGATTCGTCTTGCGATTTCCAGGCAAGTTATGAAATTAGTTTTTTCATTCGTGTCCGAAAACCCCTTCCGACATCCGGTCAAATGTCCAATATAACACCTAAATTTTTTTTTTCACGAACTAAACAATGCATGACACCTTTAAAGCTTTGATTATATCCGACAGAAGGCAACGCGTTGCCTTCTGTTGGATTCCTGCAGAAAGGGGAATGGTGATAATATTGATTCACAATGTCCCCTTGTTACCCTGATACAGATATCTATTGCTGTAAATTGTTTGCAAGAAGACGACGCACGATAGTAACCGAGCCCTATTTAGCGCACTCATGAAACCACTGACTGAATATACTGCCTCCGTTTCAAAATGTTTGACACCGTTGAATTTTTAGCACATGTTTGACCGTTCATCTTATTTAAAAAAATTTGTGAAATATGTAAAACTATATGTGTATATAAAAGTATATTTAACAAAGAATCAAATGATATGAAAAGAATAAATAATTACTTAAATTTTTTGAATAAAACGAATGGTCAAATACATACTTAAAAAAATCAACGGTGTCAAACATTTTGAAATGGAGGGGAGTATATATAACGGACGATTTGTCACTAGCTTGTCATGCAGCAGAGGAGACAATCAAAGAAGCTTGCCTTGATAATCGGATCCTATTCGAATGCAGCCAAACAGCACTGCAAATGTAATAGAACAGTAGATCAAGCTTCAGCGTTGAGCAGATGAGACCAGAGAGGAAGGCGATGCATGCACGAGCACGACCGCCTGTTGCCGTACAGGCTGCGCGGTTTGTTGCCGCCACAATTTGTACAGCAGCTAGCACTAGCGAAATGCAACTCGCAGCAGCCAGCAGTAGCAACAATGTAGTACCAGCACAGTATATGATGATACGAGTACGGGTGATCAAAATGACAAGTTCACGAGGCCAAAAGACTCGCAGTTTGCATGTCAATCGCGCGGCGGCCCATCGGACGAATGACATACACCACGGCTGCAGCCTGAAGGCAGCGGTGGCCAGGCCTGGAGAGCAACAAGTGTCCATCTTGGCATATGCAGCCATATGCAGAGGGAGACATGAGATGAGAGCACCGGCGTCGTATTCTGCGGTGACCGCTGGACTGCCTGAAACGCTGCCTTCTCCCAAGGTTTTCCAAACCGCTGGGGCCGGGGTTACCGCGCCCCGGCGGCAAGCACGGTTACCACACGGTAACCGCGGTAACCGTGAAAAACCGTATAAAACCGTGCAAAATTTATCAAAAATTCAAATTATTTTTTAAATTTATTTGAATTTAAGGAGGTTACCGTAGTATTTATATTACCGTACCCCCACGGTAACCGCGCGGTTACCGGCGGTAAGTCGAACCCTGTCCTCCCTACTACTCCTTGGCCATCTGTAGGGAGGAGGGGTATGACCGTGCTACGAGTGAGTGTGTACTCCCTCTGTTCCTTAAAAAAAAGTCAACCTAAGAGAGACAGGTACTCTCTGCAGTGCAGAGGGAGAGATGAGATGAGAGCACCGGCGTCGCATTCTGCGGTGACTGCTAGCCTGCCTAAAACACTGCCTCCTCCCTACTACTCCTCGGCCATCTGTAGGGAGGAGGGGTGTAACTGTGCTACGGGTGAGCGTGTACTCTCTCTGTCCCTAAAAAAAAGTCGACATATCCATTGTAGTGCAATAAATCTAAATAAAAGGAAGATGTCATATCCACTTCTAAGTTGTTTTTTTGGACGGAATGAGCAGTGCATTTCTGAAATTACAGCAGGTGAGGTGATGGACCAGAGAGCCATTGTCCTCAGGGGGGCTTGGCTTGATGATCTTTACTCCTTGACCAGACTGGACTGGCACCGAAAAAATAACATCCACTGTTGCATAAAATGAGGCAAGGCAGCATCCAGGCTGATGATTCCATTTCATCACCTTGCTGCTGCAGAGCATGGCATGGCATGGGCACCATCATCCACTGGGCAGCCCTGTCAGGATCTCAGTCGTCCTGGCACCTGCATTTTTTGAACAACGATACTGGAGGAGTGTAGTTGTACTCCGCTGCTATGCCCATTGCTACTAGTACAAGATGGCCAGACAGGAACGGGGGGAGAGTACTTGTAACGGCAGAACCAGCCATCGCTGAGCTTGTCCCATCCATGGCTGTACTTTTGATGCCATCGTTTTACTGCAGAGATCTTTGATGAAAAGAGATAAGAGTACTAAAAAAAACCTTGAAAAGATTCGTATGGACGGTAGTACTAAGATTATTTCTGTGACTGCTGGGCAATGGTTCTTGAAACAAACAAGACCAGTAAACTGCAAAGAATAAGTGTAAACCTGTAATGGCAATTTCACCTTCCTGGGAATATCACCTCAATAGGAAGGACTTGGGGAGGGATCTGGAAGAAAAGGGACGTGACAGTGCAAGCAGGAGATAAAAGGCCAAGATCTGAGCATGGACATGGACCCAGCTTTTAAACAAAGGCATTAACAGCAGCAATGAGTGATAGTATAGTCCCATACCCAAAGGCCTGGCCCCTGGAGTTAGGAAACCCATCAGAACCAACTGCACCATCCCTATCCAGAAAGGCCTGCCCTCTGCCTGCACAAAGGTCCCCCACAGGCCACACCCACCTGACCATGTCCAACCACAACCACAGGGTTCCATCCATGATCCATCCCAACACATACAACTCCAGTATCAATGTCCATCATAGACTCAGCCAGGCTATGAATCATGAAATGTGAACAAATGAAACGAATCCAGTAGTATGTGCACCCCCACCACTCTGAATTTTTCCCCCCTATCCAACAGTGATTTCTAGCTCTCCACTTGCCCATTGTCCATCGACTATCCGGTTCGGGCGAGGGAAGTTTCAACTCGGCAAAAATATGTATGTCTCCTATATATATTTACGGATGGCCCTAACAGGAGCCAAAACAAAGAAGAGAAAGAAAGAAAGAACACCAACGTGTTGCTGCCTAAATCCCCACATGCCTTTGCATAATTCTGCGAGGCGATTCATCTTCCGCGGGCCTGCTACGATGTGTTGACGCTGTCAAGATCTTGAAGGACCACTCAGACTACATACAACTTCTGGTCCACAAGCAATTCAGCTCACGCACCAGCCATGTGACGCTTTGTGCTGAAATAATGAATCAGGACGGGCGTCAGGGCCAGCCAGACTTCTCAAGGCATACCCAAGCTTTTGCCTTGGACTATCAATGGTAAATGATGCATGTCTAGTACCATGTCACACTTGCACAGGTAAGCCATAGTTCTGGAAGGATCTGATGTAGCCATCCCAGCCTGCAGCCACTATTACCTGGCCCCAGGCGTGCGTAGCAGCATTCTGGCAAGAAGCCTTCAGGAACTTGTACTGAGATTTCCTCAAGGTAGACTGTGTTGTCGAATTTGATGGCAACTGCTCCTCTGGCCATGTCGCTGATCCCCTTGGAGCAGATTCCGCAAAGAAGGCACTGCTAAGAGTGAAATTTCCAGATGGTAATTGGTACAGACTATCACCATCAGGGGAATCCTCAGTATGAGAACATGATGAGCTATCATGTTCATTGTGGAACTCATCCAAGACTTCTTGCTGTGAAGAAGTGATACTGCAAGCCAGTGAAATAGAATTCCTTGTCTGAGAGGCATTCCATGGTATCGCAATGGCCACATCATGGCAGGAAAAGTGCTCATTTGACCATACAGTCTTCACATGGTTTGTGACGGGAGCTATTTGGTTTGCATAGTTCCACATGTAGATACTGGAATCATCACTAGCAGATATAATGTGATCTCCATCTGGTGTGAATGATGCAGCAACTTGACTTGAACTTCGCAGTCCTGAGAATGGAAAATAGACATGTAAACTAAGGGTCACAAATACTTTTGAAAGTGATCTTAGAAGAGGGTGTCAGTACCTTTGTAGTTGGAAATTACGTGAAGCCCATCAAGAATACGGACTTGCGAGTCGCCAGATGTTACCATCAATTTCTTTGGATCAGATGGGCAGTACTGGTAATGCATGTAGGAAAAATTGCTTTTGTAAGAATTAAATGTGACAAAAAAATAGATTAGAACATGCAATATAAGAAAAGGTACCTGGAAACCGATTATTCTTTTAAGTGGAGATTTCTTTCTTCCATTGAGAGCGACTTGAGATTCCAGCTCCAGGTGATTTTCTGCAAAAAGTATTAAAGTTAGAAAAAAACAAATGAATCAGAAACATACTAGTAGCATATTTTCGTTGAGCATACTTGAAAATGTTTTAAAAGAACACAAGTCAAAGAAGTTAAAGTTCCTGGTCTGAATTAAACAAAGCGGATTTAAGCTACTGTTACAAATCAACTACTATTACAACAGACTTTTGAATATCGTATTTACTGGCTTGCTGTTTCCCGATGTATGGAACATTAATTTGAATCTTGACTGAAGCATGAGGCAACAAGTTTCCAGTGCTATGTGTTTTGCAAGATCTATAAGCAGGAAATGGTTATAACCATTAAGGACCTCATGAATCATAGACCTAAATTTCCCCAACAATACTTTCATCATACCCAAACAAGGGTAGTACACTTGACTTCTGCAGCCAATACAGGAATATGCACCTTAGCTTCAAAACATAAACCAAGAAAATATATGTTTTTCTATTTCAATCTTATCTGTTCTTATCCAATGAAAAATAGAATTGTTGTCTACCATCAACATGCATGACCTTGCTATGAAAATAGCATATTAGCACATGTTGCCTGTTCATCACCAAAATGCAATAGTACCGTTTCCTAAGTTCCTATATCATCTCCCCGCAAAAAAAAAAAAAGGTTCCTATATCATCTCCATTGATGACATAGTTTTGTTGATTCATCAGGACAAAATGAGTCCAACCAGTGATTGGTCAAAAAGATAGTTTGGCAGAGATCAATTTTTTTTAAGAAAATCGTAGCATAAAAACCAGCTGGAGAAAAGTCTCGTGGACAGTACTACTTGGTGGAAATAAATGCAACACTAGCATCTCATAAAATGACCTATCTTTCCATCATGTAGTAAACTGCAATCTATACACACATACAGTTTAGACAGGATCAAAAGAAGCAATTAGAGGATAACAACAATTCTGCTGTCTCTATTCTCATACCAGGGACAAAACAAGACATTTCTATCATTAGCAATTTGCATATACATCTAGGATGTCGTCATGAAAGCAAACGATATTGACCTATTAACAAACAAGGATGTTGATTCATTGAAGCTACTATTTCCAAAATCATTAGCCTGCCAATAACAAGCGCCATACATAGAGTGTGCTCATGATTGCATGATTACCTGATGCATCGTAGTGGCGACAATTCCCTGTTATGGTCCCAACCACTGCGGCCTGAATAAAGCCAGCAGAATAAACATGTTTAACTATTTAAGTAAAATCAGAAAATGGCCGCTTGGGTAAAAACACTTAAAGAACAGTTGAACAAACCTTTCCATCAGGGCGGTAACAAACTGCAGTGATTATCTCTTTGGTATCAGCCCAGTCCACGACTTGGCATCTACGAACATCCCAAATGCGAACCAATCCGTCGATACAACCACTGATAAAATAATTGTCACTGGTAGGATGAAACTGCACACATGTTACTGCATAATAGACAAAAATCAGAATGTCGGCATCAGACGCTGGGAAGAGGTATGTGCTAAATCTTGTACTTAGCGGGGGAAAGGGTTTACCGTAGTTAGTATGGGAGAAAACCTTCAGGCAACTATTGCACCCAACCTGCCACAATCGTACAGTTTTATCCATGGATGAAGAAAGTAAGTCCTGCAAAAAGAAGGCGAGTGAAGTTAGATGACCATGTGACAATTAAAAGATACTGCAGATACATGGAAAAACCTTGTTCAATGACAACTAACCCTATTTTTTGACCATGAAAGATCCAAGATCGCATCATCATGTCCATAGAATTCATGCACAGGCTCCTGGGATAATGCAAAGGTCCTATGAGGGATCACAACACAGGCTGGATCTGTCGACACCTTTGAGTTCTTGTAGTGCTTGCTCTTACTCCCTTCACTGGAGTTGACAGGGGCCAATTCGGAGTTTTCATTGACTGTGAAGAACACGCATGAAGGATCATCTTCGGCAAAGTCAAGTTCATTGGGCCTCTCCCCCTCCACCACCCGCCACACACGCACAACCCCATCCTCACCTCCAGTGGCCAGATACTGTCCATCAGAGCTAAACTTCATGGTCACAATTGCGCCTTCGTGCGCCTTGATGTCTTGGCCCCTGTACACCGCGGACAATTCCTTTGACCTCTTCTTGTAATGCCTCACCTTGACCCTATCAACCTTCCCAGAGCAACTCCGACAAGAACTCGAGGATGTTGAATTCGTCTCATCGTCCTCCTCCACATCGACGACGCAGCCACGGATGCCGAGCCTGCGCAGCCATCCAAATCTCCTCCTCCTTCTCCTTCCCCTGACCAGAGCCTTCTCCACAGCAGAGGACTCATCCGAATCATCCACCCGCCGCATCAGCTCACAGATGAATGGGGACGAGCCGTAGGTCCGTTCGAATTCCGCTGCAGTAACTGTCCGGTTGGATCGCCTGTCCCTGAGGCTCCTGAAACTCCCATCTTTTCCCATCTCGTCGACGACAAACACTGTACCATCGTCCAAGTTCTTGAATACACAATCCAACACCTCCGCGCCGCCGCCGCCGCCTGACGCTCCCGGCTCCTCGCCTCTGCACGCAAAACTGGGGACGGCTGAGACCAGCTCGACGGTGGGGCTGCACGGGAGGATCTCTTCTGCGGCACTGGACCTCGAGCACGGCTCCTCGTCGGGCCGGTCGCCGCCGCCGCCGGCGGAGGGGCTCGAATCCGAGAGGCCCAAGGACTTGATGAACCTCTGACGGCGCTCATGGACGCTGCACGGGTCGGTGGCCCACACCTCGAGCATGGGCCCGTCGTAGCGCCCGGAGCTCGCCGGAGAAGAGACGGACGCCGGCGACATGACCTCCCTCGAGTCAAAGAACTCATCCTCGTCATCCTCCTCGAAGCGGGGCCGCGCCATGACGGACATGTGCAGCCTCTCTTTCTCCCTCCCCTCACCTCACCACGCCGCAAGAAACGGCCACAGACTCACCACCCCCCGCCGCCGCCGCCGCCGCCCCAAGAACCGACCAGTGGCATGAGCCGGCGACGGAGATCTCGCGGATCTCGGGGAACTCGCGCGCGCGCTCCCACTGCCGTGGCGGCTCAATCTCTTCTACCTCGTCCGGTTCTTGGCTCTATCTCTCTTGGTGGAAGAGGGAGAGGGATGTGTCCTTGTCCTTCCTAGTTGGGTTTTGGGGTCTCAAGAAGGGAACCAACCAACCAAAAGCTAAATGAGTAGAGTAATAAAAGGAGGAGGCAAGAGAGGGAAGAGGAAGAGGATGGTGGTGGTGGTGGTGGTGGATGTATGGGGACCTTGATCTCTGGGATCGGTTGCGAACAGCGTTTGGATGGAGGTTCGCTCGTCGTCAGCAATGGAGCAATGGACGGATCGGACGACGTAAAACCAAAAAAAAAAACGATGGGAGAAGAAGGAAAAAGAGAAGAAAAACTGTGAGGCATGACGGCTTCTGCTTCTCTGCTGCCTATCATCATAAGTGTTTTTTTAATTGCCATTATCAATATGTAACAACTTATATAAAACTTATATTTTGATTATGGTTTGGTTGGTTAGCACCGAGATTTTACATGTGATATATGTGATAATTTCTTCTAGCAATTTTTTTCTTTATATATATAAATCTAGAGACGATTCGACAATTACAAATCTAAAAGTTTTGAGAAAAGAACTTACAGAAGTTTTAGAGCAATTCCGGGAAAAAAAAAAAGAAAAACCGTAAGGCATGACGGCTTCTGCTTCTCTGCTGCCTATCATCATGTGTTTTTCTTTTTAGATCGTCATTATCAATTTTATTTCTCCACGGAGATGCTAGAGTTCTTTTCTTCTCGGAAGTCCCCCGTTTTTTCTTCCAAAAGATTGAGGATTTTGTTAATCTTCCATGTAGACCGGGATTATGTTTTTCCACACGTTTGTTTGCCTCTGTCTGTCTTCCTGAAAATTGATGATTTTGTATTATAGGTTGCTCAGGGTCATGTTTGTCTAGTTCCTCGATATAATATGTTACTTTTGGATTTTATTTTTATCTTTTTACTGTTGGCTTGTGCTTGTCGTGAATTTATTTGTATGCTTACTAAGACTACGTATTTAAAATTTAAGTCTACATAAAATTGCAATTATTTACTCATATTGACATGTGAGTATGGATATTGCACAACTTTAACATAAAAATGAGTAGGACAGCCTTTTTTTCGCGAACGCCGCAGAGCGCTCGACATTGTGAAAAGAAAATGTAGAAGATGAAATTGTACGGTTAAGTTTGACCTACAGCTTTTTTTTAGGATGATTTAGTATTTTTTTATACCTATGTAAACACAAGGATCCCTTGGATTCTCAAGGGAGAAAAATGTTAGTATTTGATTGGAGATGTCTACCTCAGCTCTCACTCGTTCCGGCCAGGTCGCAACCGGTCCAAGTCAATGGAAGGTGGCATTAGCAATAGCAAAGCAGTGTGGCATATCTCCATTTTTCAAATATAGGTTGCACATGCCTAACCTCCATTGCAACAAGCCATATCATTTGGATGCTCTGTGGTGCGATACCTGATGCTGCACAGTACACTCCCACACATTGCCCAGCAATAAAGAGTGTGCCGCATATTTATTAGATTAATTATTTTACTCATTTTATAAGTCGATTTTATCTAAAGTGCCAAGCAAGCAGAAATCCATGCTGAGTTGCTAGCAAGATACCGTGATTATACAAAACATTGAAACATATACTACATATATACAACATCCTCCTAATTAATCTTCATGCCACTGTAATGATATTAAATGGTCGTTGCAGGTTCAAGAAGCAAAATAAACTTGCTGATTACTTGGAGATGTTTTGCTGTCACTACCTAGTTATAAATTGTTTGCTACGCTGCTCCGGAATCTTTGGTAGACACGAGCGCATCTCTCGGTGCTGTTCTCTACATTTCCTTCCTGATCAACGGGCCTGCTCTTACTCATGTCAGTTGGTAAGGAGTACTAATCAGTTGCTTTTGTTTAATCATTAAGGGTTTAGTATGTCACCACCAATTATTAATTAGCACTGGTTGGCAGTACTGAATTTCTGACCAGTAGATGGTAAATGAGCAAAGTAGGCATGACTGTTTGAGGATCCTCTTGATAATTAATTAACATGGTTTAAGTAGAGCAGTAATCAAACAAGTAAACAGATTGTTAAAAAAAATATATACACGTAGGCGTCCTGACCTCAGCTACCTTGTTCCTCAAGCGGTAACAGGTGAGATTGAGATGGGGCAGAGTGGCAGTACTTTTTTTTTCCTTACCTGTTATTGTTGCTTTGCTCATGGCTGCAATTAGCTCCTTTCCGTTGGTCGACCTGTGAAAAAAAAATTATATACTGTCGCTAATGAAAACAAAAGGCCAAAAGCAGTAGAGTAAAACCAAAAGTTTATATCACGAAAGGTTAGTTTAGGTGCCTTTCTTGCCCTGCGGTACTGTATTTTGTACCACAGAAGCAAAGTCGCAGTTGAGCTTGATCCATCGAACTAATTTAACTGCACGTACGTTAATCGTGAGTTAAGCCTGAAACGTACGTACCCGGCCTTAATTGGGCACGTACGTATCCTATCAACTTAGGACTAATAATAATCGATTAGATACGGACGTATGGCGAAAAATTAAGGAGAAGTAGTCGCCACAATAGTAACACGTCGGAATTCCCGTTCCAACACGCACATACAGCGAGCTATCCGTGCTCGGAAACGAGAGGCAGCAAGCGACGACGCGTTTGGTCGGCGCGGACTCAGCTTAGCTCGTGGTGGAGTCAGCGCGCGCGGGTGGTTTGGTCAGCCGCTCGCTCGCTCGCTCGCACTCGCACTCGGTCGCGCGTGAAGATGGACGCGTACGTGGAGCCACCGTGGCGGCTGCTGCGTCCGCGCGGGGCGAAGGCGAGGTGGGCAGCTGCGTTAGGCCAGCCACCGATCGGTCGTTTGTTGGTTGGGTTTATCCCGTATCCAATCCACCCAGATGACGATGATCCAGTCGCGCGCGGGGGCTACGTGTACTCGATTCAATCCGAGGCCAAATCCTCCCAAGACCCAACAAGGTGATCCACTGCAGTGACTGCACCCTGCCTCACCGTGCAGCACAAGCTTCGGTTGTCACATCTCCGTTACGTGACAACGTTTGTCTCTTTGATTTTGTTCTTCTTCGACCGATCGATCTCCTGGTCAAATTCTTTCGTTTTCGTTGACAACAAGACTTTGCTTGGACGACCGACGACTAATAATTAAGCCAGTTATACGTACGATCTGAGCCGTTGGAGTATATCTGTTCACAAAGTTGCATCCAGCTGATCAGTCAAGTCGTAGCAAATATATATACACGTATATATGTACGTGCGTACGTACATCGAGCGAAGTGCTTCTACGTTCTAGTGCCAATTGCGCGTGATGCATGCGCACACGTACACTAATAATCGCTAGCTATTGTTCAAAAAAAAAAAAAAATCGCTAGCTACGCACTTTGAGAGAGTGGCACTTTGCACCTACCTTACCCACATACACACAGATCTGGTATGATCCTTCGTCGTCGTCTAGCTCTTCTCCTTCTCAATATCTTTCTCATTTAATTTCCTTTTCGGACGAACATGCTGGATAAATTTAAATTTAAACTGGAGTAGCTAGCTAGCTGGAACAAGCAGACGAGTTAAGGGTCAAATATACCATCACTGTTGATCCTACATTTAGAGATATAGGATCTACAGATTCGCCTAGCTAGCAAAGCTAGCGTACGTGACATCTTTCGCTTTAGCATCTTGATCACCTCTTTATACATTGTTTTCATCTGCTGTTCACGTTGGCATGCAACTCCAACAACACCACCAACACAGTGAATTTTCTGTTCTTGCATGAATTTGTTGTATACACGCCAAGACGAACGACGCGATAGATCGATCAAAAGCCAGTCAAATTAAAGCCGCAGCACACGCGATTGAGCTCCAAAAAAGATCCACGAGTTGTTGGGGGTGTGAAACCGCGCGCCCGACTCGTTCGTAACCGGACAGAAATTGCAATCACTTTCGTGACGCACTTGGAACATATTACTGTACTAGTAGCAGCTACCAGCGACGAGATGGCCATATCGTCAATTAGAGATCTCTAGAATTCCGGACTCGATTTGACGTTGTGGCTATTCTGTTCGTTGACCGTCCGTTGGTTGTTGTTTTAATCTATCCAGCAACTAAAAGTCTAAAACCATCTTGCTGCAGGTTAGTACTATTGTTAATTTCAGTTTCCGACAACCTTTTTAAGGCAATTACAAAGGTAGAGACTGGTATGGTCTCTACGTTAATTAGAGATTATCACGTTACAATAGTTAAGATAATACAGTCTCTAATCATTAGTGTACCAAAATACTTTCTTACTAGTCATTTTTCCTTTGTTAGACTCAATGCAACAAAAATTTTTCTAATAAATGCTAATAGTCGATTCTATGCCGTTGTCATGTGTAGTAACCATCTTTTTCTTTTCTTCTTCCTCTCTCTTCCACATCACCAAATATACTTGCATGACGATAAAAAGAGACCGCTAATAAATACCATTGTATATGCCCTTATTCAGAAGTCCTCTCTCTAGATCATAATCAATGAAACTAATTAACTAACCAAGACTTTGGTTTTCCGAAACTTCCTGGTTTGATCACTTCTTGAATCCTGCGGAAGCATTTCCGTCTTTGGATTGTTATGCGATTTGCAAATTGTTTATAGAGCATTCCTCAGTTGATTTTTCTACTGAATACTGTTCAACAGTTAACGGTAATAAAACACTTGTTTAATTCTAGCTGCAACTAATTAACCCCCTAAAAAATAATTGTCAAGCAGTTGCAGGAATGCACTGAGCGATCATCATCAGTAGCTTAGCAGTTAGCACTACCACCAACCATCCAATTAATCCGTACTACTGCTACATTGCATGCTACAACTCCACATATACTTCCATGTGCCATCATGTTTTAATGATTAAATTAATGCAGTAGTAATCGATGAACGTATTCTTTATTATGGCGTTTTATTGCCGTCCACTTCGTTACAACAGCAAACAAACAATTAATTATTTACTGTGATGACTTTTATATCCAGATAGCTAAGCTGATGAGGTAAAAACAAGCGGTCCTGATTAACACCGACAGGCACGTTTCTAATGAGGCGGTTTTATGGTACTTTGTCTACAAAATTCCCCAAGAAGGATCAGCTGGCAATCATACAAGGCTAGGGGAAAAACTAATTCTTAATTAGTCACTAGTACTAGTGTCTTTGCGCTCTAATCAAGGTACAAGGACTTGTTAAACAAAAGCCTAATGTGATGGAACATGGCACCTTCCTCGGTGGAAATAAAACTAAGCAAAGGGATTTTTAATCAAAGTTAAAAAAAAACAAAGCCGTGCTTGGTGGGAACACAAGTACACCATTGTCATTTGCTCTGGTTCCTGCTCAACAAGTGTACCTTTCGGTTCCTCCTAAAGAAAAACAGATGCTGTTTAATTAGTAGCTAATGCCAATGCTAAGCTAGGACGTGATCATGCGCACATGTGAGCAGGGAGGCTGATCACATGAGCTCAACAAACAAAATTAGGAGCTAGCTTAGCTCTAGCTGTAGTTAATTTAAGATGGAATCATTTATCTCATTTGCTTGCTTGCTTGATATTTCTGCGTGATGGATCGATCGACGTGGATAATTAAGAGGCTAAATGACCTGTATTTAATTAATTAACTTGTATTGCGCGTCAATTTCTTTCTTTAAATCGCCGTAGCGCCTAGTACGGACCTCGCGTGCATGCATGTGAGGTGTTGCAAGGTCGAGGGTTAATCCGGTGATCGACGTGTCGTCGTGTTGCTGGCCCTGCAGCTTAACAAAATTCTACCACTTGTTTAATTTAATTACTTTTTTTTACTTGTGTGTCATGCAAAGCTTGTGGTGACCAATCAAGCAGCTTCAGTTCACTAAGTTCACTGTACTCCCCAACTGTTTAGGTCGCTACACGGTTCACTGTACCAACTCTGTCAGAGCATCAGCTGCAATTTGCCCCGGGTTTTCAGCTCAAGTCGCAGGGATTAATCAGGGACATGTTTCTTCATCAGTTCATGCATGCTGCAGCAGCATTGACCTGTGGAGAGATTATGCATGATCTTCAGTACGATCTCCACTTGCGCCAACCAAACCAACCACGCAAAAAAGGGTTCATGTGTTACACTGTCTTCAAGCTGGCATTAATGGTTGTTATCACTCGAGTGCTGTCAAATTAAGTTAATTAGCAGCTAGCTACCCTAGGCGTAGAGATGTCCTTGTGTGCAATTGCACTGATGGTGTTCAGTTCAGGGACTTTCTACCAGCTAGTTGTACTGAATTATAGAGCAAGTTGGATGCATGATTAATTTCGATCAAACGAAAGCAGGGCTACTTTTAGTTAGATATATCACACGTACGATGGATCTTTGTTGTAGGACAGGTGTTAGCACACAACTCTTTAGTCCCAACTAGCCATGCATCTTTCTAAAGAGAGGAAAAAAAAACACCATCATCATTCATCAGGAGAATGAGCCAGCCCAGCCAAGCTGCTAAACAGTAGCTAAGGAACTATGTGTGCATGCTTATCAATCAGCTCTAACCTTTTTCAGGTGTCAATGCAAGCTGCAGTGCTCATGGATTCTTTTAATCAGACTATGTGTGGCCAAAGTTCTTGCACATGTACATGCTGATACTGTCCACAGGATACTAGTAACATATATATCCAGCAAATCAATCAGAGAGAGTTGCTAGCGATCGATGAACCGAGAGAGAACGTGCATGGGCTAGTTGTATATTCTTCTTCCTCCCTGCTGCTAGCTGCAACTACTCAGTGGTTGCCTCCATGCTTGCAGTGAGATGCTTCTCTATATGCCATTGGATTTGGAATCTAGCAGCGTGAAGCTCAAACTGAGAGAAATTATAGCTTAATAAGTAGTCGATCGACGAGGTAGCTAGCTGCCGGTGGCCTGAGTGAGGGCCATCCATGGATGCACAGTCTCTGTCGAAGTGTCGATCTAGCTATATATCATTCATTTTTTGGGGTTCGAATACGAATGTATACTCCTGTCACTTTGGTAATCTCACTTTCAAAGATTGAACACCTAGATTGTGCTGTACATACGAGGGATGATGACATTTGTACCTTTTGAGTTGTGACTAGGAGATATCGATCGGTGAGGAATAGTCTGGCCTTACGTGTTAGTATCTGTACCTGAAGAAAGTATAATAATTTATGAATGCAACACTCGACACTGTACTTTTCGCGTTCGCGAAAAAAAAGACACTGTACTTTTCGATTGTTCATCGCATGGAATTGGTAACAGCAAGCTTAACAGAGAAAGGTAGTCGATTGTCTGGACTCTCTGAATGATAACTTATAATTGGATCTCACTGGTGACTGAACCAAGGACGTGGATGCATGCAGCCGTCCTTTTTGTTGTCTGGATCAGTTAACGGTTGGTAATTAGCTACGTGGATCAACGACGATACTGCCAAAGCTTAGCTTAGCTGCTGCTCCGAAAGATAAGGAGAAGATTGAGAAGAAGAAGATGCTAGAGCTAGTCGATCTCAAGGCGACATATATGTCTGCTCGTCCTGATCTGCTCTGCTCCCTCTGTACTTTAGCAGGGAGCAGTTTGTTTGCTGAATAGAGTAAGTTTATTTTGCCTCCATTTATTGAATCATCTTCCTCGACCGCAAAACCACCTCAACCACAAAACCAGGTTTAACATCTTCCCTATGTTTGAAAACCGAGGCAAATCAACTGCTTCTATGGTTTTAAAAACGGTTTTTTGCTAACGTGACAGGTCCACCACATCAGCACGTGGAACCCAACATCTCAATGACTTTCTCTCGTCTCATCTTCTTCCTCAACTCTCTTCTCATATCTCCTGCAAAAATAGGCAAAACAGTGGCTTAATTTGGACCCAGCAATTTCAGCAAGCCGACTGTAGTATGGGCCGTTCCGGCCCAACTATAATGGGTCGCACGAAGCTCGCATTCCCGTTCCGGCCCAATAGTGTGGGCCACACGGAGCTCCCTCTCCCTTGACGGCCCAACTGTTGGATGGTTAAGATTCGTGCAGCCTCACTCGGACTTGTCATCTGATCGCTCGGGACCTTATCGCCGTCTCGGCCTCACTCCGGCTGCCGGCGCCATGCACTCGCCGTCGCCGGCGCCGGCGGGGTGCCCACCGGCCACCTCGTCACCACCTCCCCGCGCCAGCAGCCGTGCGACCCACGTCGTGATGGCCCGCGGCGGCCGGAGGCACAAGCCGCCGTCGTCTGCCCCCGAGGCCGAGCAGCCGGAGGCGCTCTCCCGCATCCTCCGCACCGAGGCCGCCGTCTCCGGCGTCTCCCGCAAGGCGGCGGCGGCGTCGCGGCAGCATTCCACCCGCCTCTGGCCCCGCGCCGTGCTCGAGGCCCTCGACTCCGCCGTCGCCTCATGCCGCTGGGAGCCCGCTCTCGAGGTAACCCCCAATCCCCTTGAGGAATCAGCTTGATTCTGATGCTCATTGTGCTGTGCTCGCTTGATTGGGGTTTAGATCTTCGAGCTGTTGCGTAAGCAGCAATGGTACAAGCCGAGGTCGCAGACCTACGCCAGGTTGCTGATGATGCTCGGCAAGTGCCAGCAGCCCGGCGCGGCCACTGCCCTCTTCAAGGTGATGCTCTCGGAGCGTCTCAAGCCGACGGTGGATGTCTACACGGCCCTCGTCGGCGCGTACGGCTACAGTGGGCTGCTGGACCAGGCGTTGGCCACCGTCGAACAGATGAAAGGTGTCGCGGATTGCAAGCCAGATGAGTACACATTCTCTGTTCTCATCAATTGCTGTAGCAAATTGCGCCGCTTTGATCGGATACCTGCGATTCTTGATGAGATGTCCTACTTGGGGCTACAATGCAATGCTGTTATCCATAATGCGATAATTGATGGGTACGGGAAAGCCGGCATGTTGGAGGAGATGGAGAATGCACTGACTAGTATGCTTGAAGATGGGGACAGTGTGCCGGACATATACACGATGAATTCTATCATTTGGGCTTATGGGAATCATGGTAACAGGATACATGAAATGGAGAGGTGGTACAGTGAGTTTCAGTTGATGGGTGTTGAGCCAGATACGCAAACATTTAATATCATGATCAAATCATATGGTAATGCTAAGATGCATGACAAAATGATGTCGGTGCTGAAATATATGAAGAAACACTTCTTCTCACCAACTGTTGTTACCTTCAACATAATAATAGAAAGTTTTGGACGGGCGGGAAACATCGAGAAGATGGAGTACTATTTCCGATTGATGAAAATTCAGGGTGTTAAACCCAACCCCATCACTTACTGCTCACTGGTCAATGGGTACAGCAAAGCTGGGTTTCTCGACAAGGTTCCTGGGATCATTCGACAAACAGAGAATACTGATGTGGTTTTAGATACTCCATTTTTTAATTGTGTGATCGATGCATATGCCAAGTCTGGGGATATCAAAATTATGGAGGAAATGCTGCAGCTTATGAAGGAAAAGAAATGTAAGCCCGATAAAGTAACTTACACCACCATGATCCAGGCATACAATGTACATGGGATGGATGAAGCTGCTAATTTGTTAAAGATGGAAGTGGGCATGGTTGATGGCAAGCTGCTGGTAAGTGTCTTCCACTGTTACAGCAAGCTTGTATTTCATATTAACCAATGTATGCATTAATTATCCAAGCTGATTGATGGTATTCACTGGTTACCTTGTTTCTGAATCAGGAATCAGTTTCAGAGGTTGATAAAAAATAATGCCCTTTTTCCATTTTTCTTGGGGTGGTTCAAAATAATGATGGACCAAGGGGAATGCCAGGGAAACATAACAGAGCTTGACTATGATGAGTGAATGAATTACCATCAACACAAAGGTTGGCCGGGCAAGGGCAATCACATACTCCTAGTGTGAATGAATTACCATCAACACAAAGGTTGGCCGGGCAAGGGCAATCACATACTCCTAGTCGAGTGCTTCTTTGAGTACTCACTCCTAGCTGAATGCTATTGGCAAAGGTAAACAGCTCATACTTCTTTTCTAATTTTTATTTTGGTATTTGTCAACGGCTTGGAAACTGAACTGAAACAATGGCACTTCAATTCTAGCTCTTTGTATGTTCTAGCAATAATCAATTCCTTGGAACAGATGAACAATCATTCAACTTTGTACAATAAGTTAGTTTACAAATCGAATTATATCTTACACTCTTCAGCTAACTATGCAGTGCCATCAAATCATCTAATATCATAATACAATTCTTATGCAGATAAATTCTTAAATCTGCTCTCGCAGCTAGTTTTGTGGGCAGTTGATCCATCATCCATCTGCAATTGTTTATAAGGTGCGTTGAAGCGTGATCCCAGTATGTTTGAATGCATTCTTTCATCACCAAGGCGTGGCACCTATTCCTTATCATTTAGAAACAAAACACATAGTCCTTACCAGCAATCAAAATTTATGCCTGATGATAAAAACTGTTTCACAATATTCAGCAACGCCTGCTCACACAGTGACACAGATGATCGGACATGACACCCTGCTTGCTACTGCTATACACATGTTCTGTATTCTTACTTGTAACAGCTTTGAGTTGGAGATAATCGGATAGGGGACAACGAGACAGGAAGGCAGCATGGACGCCGCACTCAAGTCCATGAGTAAAGCATGGGGCAGCAGCTGGCAAGATTTGTTTCACCTGACTGGAACCTACTCTCTCCGTTTTGTTCAGATTTATTGTACTAAGTAATATCTCAACTTATCTTAGGTTGGTTTATTTTAAGACGGACGGAGTAAACGTCAACACAGACATCGAGGATCTTGACTCGGATTTGTCACTGAACAATTGTTGTGGGTGTGAAAATTCCATGAATTCATTGTCTTTGCATTAAAGCACCAACAGTAAGAAAATGATTCGATCTTAAACCTTGATGACTGAACTACAACTCTATACTATGCAGTATTTCGTGCTTTCAGAACTGTATTACTTATAGCTTATTAATCTTTTTAGCTCTATATGGCACTCATAAATAAACTTGTTAATCTTGATCAGGGAGATATATGCAACAGAAAAATCTCCCAGTTCTAAAAAAATCTCCATGTTTAAGGCGGCCCATTAGACAACTGGAGTTTACTTGAAGTAGCCCATTACGGAGTAGTACAGAATTCGGACGGCCCATGCTATCATTTTTTCGGCCCAATAGTTTCGGTTTATAAACCAGGTTGGCCTTCTCCAGCCTCCTCTCTTCCCCGATTCCCAAACCCTAGCCTAGGAGAAGACGAGAGCCGACACCCTCCGCCGCCGGCTTCCATTGCCGCCACCGCCACAGCCAACGGGCAGCAGGATGGAGGCTGGCAGGCCGGCGAGCGCTGCCGGGCAGGGAGAATCCTCCTCGTCCTCCGGCGCGATGGCGGTGGACGCGGCTGGCGGCGTGGAGAAGCCGCGGTTCGAGGCGCTGATGCCGAGCGAGATGAGCGGCGGGAGGCCACAGTTCAGGAAGGTGCCGGTGCCGCAGCACCGCTTCGCGCCGCTCAAGAAGGCGTGGATGGATATCTACACCCCCGTCTACGAGCACATGAAGATCGACATCCGCATGAACCTTAAGGTAGCCTCCAATTTCTCTCCTGGATGTACACTTCTGATTCCGTTGATAGTCGCAAATTGCCTCATGGATATATCTAAATCCTTTGTGTAGCTAATCGCCTTATGGATATATCTCAGTCTTTTGAGTAGTATGTGGTTGCAAATCCTGAATGGTGAGACATGTCCGTGTTGCTTTTCGGCATGATGCTGCAGTGTCAAAACTATATTTTGGCATTTTACTTAGGGCCTGTTTGGTACAGCTCCAACTCCTAAATTTAACTCCAGGAGTTGAGTCTGGAGTGGAGTTGTGGAGCTGCAGCTCCACAACTCTTTCATTTTGTGAGAGAGCTCCACCCAGCTCCACTTCCAGTTTTGGTAGAGCTGAAACTGTTTGGCTGAGCTCCAGCTCCAGGAGGGGTGGAGCTGGAGCTGGAGCTGTGCCAAACAGGCCCTTAGGATAAGTGATTCTGTTATCCTTGTAACATTGTTGCAAGCTGTACATAATTAGTACATGCGTTGTGCTAGAATTCTACTCCAAATGGGAGTAGAATTCAATATGGTGCTATGAGTAAATGGAGTATAATGTCCATTGAATTATACCGTAAGAAGACACTGTTTTTAAAATCCTCTGTGCTAATTTCTTGCCCATGATCAGCACGACAGTTGAGCTGTCTAACCTTTTCAATTCAGTACGAAAAACATAGATATTTGATGTGGTGAAAGCTCACAACTTGCAACTTTTACCTGAGACACTACTAATCACAAATTCATCATAGCTTTGTGTCTGCAAACACTCAGCCGTCATTTGTAAGTCACTCCATTAGTTTGTCCTTGTCTAGTGAGTAGTAACTGTTTGCTCACTGACCTTAAACCATTTGGCAAGAAGTATTATCAGTGCTTGTGAAAAAATGCCATAATCCTACAGTTGTATTTTTGAATGCTTAAGCTGCCTACCATCAAACAGACCATATAATATGTTTCCATTATCTCAGGCAAGAAGGGTGGAGCTGAAAACAAGACAAGACACACCTGACGTGAGCAACCTTCAGAAGTGTGCAGACTTCGTACATGCTTTTATGCTTGGTTTTGACATCGCCGATGCTGTTGCGCTGCTCCGTCTCGATGACCTGTATGTGGATTCCTTTGAGATCAAGGACGTGAAGACACTCCGAGGAGAGCATCTGTCACGTGCTATTGGCCGCTTGTCAGGAAAAGGAGGCAAGACCAAATATGCCATCGAGAATTCTACGAGGACTCGCATAGTTATCGCTGATACGAAGATCCATATACTTGGATCCTTTGTTAACATCAAGGTTGCTCGGGATTCACTCTGTAGTCTTATCTTAGGTTCTCCTGCAGGCAAAGTCTATTCTAAGCTAAGGGCTGTTTCTGCTAGGTTAGCAGAAAGGTATTAGATGGTGCATCGTACCGTTGCAGTTTTGGCCTCGTAATATGTTGTATTGGCTGATTTGTGTGCCTGGGCTCTTAATTGTATCGTTCGAATGAACAAACTTAAAATGCTGAGAGTTTTGTAACAATACATATGCATTGTGTTTAGTTCTGTCTGTTGCCCCCCTGTTTCCGGAAATCTATGGACGTGCTGCTGCATATATGTTTGATGGGTGTAAATTATTTTGTGCTGACTGATGAACGGATTTGTGATAATTATTCGAGGGTACAGGTGATTGAATCAACTATCACAAAACTGAAAAAACAAATAAATTTACATATACAAAGTTTTCATAAATATCATATCGTTTCAGATCTTGAAAGTTTAGATGAGTTGCCATCAGTGTTTCCTGTTCATTTATCTGTGGTTTTTACTTGAGATTTTACTTGGATTACAGTCGTTCATAGCAGTTACTCTCTCCGTTCCATTTTAAATGCAAACATGAGTTTCCGCGCTGAACTTTAGTCGTCTGTCTTATTTGAAATTTGTTGTAATTAGTATTTTTATTGTTATAAAATGATAAAACATGAATAATACTTTATGCGTGACTTATGTTTTTAATTTTTTTAAAAAATTTATCAAATAAGACGAAAGATCAAATTGGAGTACATGGAGGGAGTACATGAACTGAAGTCTGAACGCAACGCACGAGTCTGAAGAACGCTATCGCCATCGGTAGCAGCGGGAAGAGAAGACTGGCCAAGTCGTCGAGGGCTAAGCAAGGCAGTAGAGTGGATCAGTGGAGTGGAGTCGCGTCGGTGTCTAGACGAGATATTTCTTTCTTTCTTTCAACGGCCAAATTCTCCGATCTAGATAAGAGTCGAGGAGCAAAAGTCGCTCGATCGATGGAGCCGGCCGAGCGTCACCGGCGGCGGCGGCGGAGGGCGCACACGGCGGACGAGGCGGCGGCGGTGCTGCGGAAGGCGTGGTGCCGGCTGCGGCTATCGGCGCGGGATCCGTCGCGGGTGCCGCCGTGGGACGCCGTCGTCCTCACCGCGGCCAGCCCCGAGCAGGCCGCGCTCTACGACCGCCAGCTTGCGCGCGCCCGCCGCCTCGGCCGCTTCCCGGCCTCCACCGCCGCCCTCGCCGTCCCCGACCCCGACGCCGCGCGCATCGGCTCCGGCGCCGCCACTCTCCACGCCGTCGCCTCCCTCGTCCGCCATCTCATCGCCCAGGTCCAGCCACTTCTGCCCTATGTACTACTACTACAGAATCGATCCCCTCCCCTGTTTAACATCATCTGAATCTGCAGGCTTCCAAGGAAGAGATCGCCGAATTGCTGCCCGAAGCAAGTGATTCTTCAGCAGATGACATCCCACTCAGCTCGGTGGTACGATTCATGGCGAACAAACACGTACTGCTGCTTCACGCTGGGGGTGATAGCAAGAGGGTTCCATGGGCGAACCCCATGGGGAAGGCCTTCCTGCCTCTGCCTTACTTGGCCGGAGACAATCCTGATGGACCTGTTCCGCTGCTTTTCGACCACATTCTCGCGATCTCATCCAGCGCAAGGCAAGCTTTCAAAAACCAAGGTTGTAGCTTATAGACAGAGCCACTGATTTTGAGCAATATGTTCAATTTTAATTGGTACAGTATGATCAGGTGGGATCTTCATAATGACCGGGGATGTTCTCCCATGCTTCGATGCTTCAAACCTAGTTCTTCCTGATGATGCTGCTTGCATCGTCACCGTGCCAACAACTCTAGATGTGGCTGCTAATCATGGTGTAGTTGTAGCGGCAAAGGACGGAACTGATGGGGAGAACTATTCCCTGTGTTTGGTTGATAATCTCCTCCAGAAGCCTACAGTGCACGAGCTTGTGGAGGGCCAGGCTATTCGAGATGACGGGAGAGCACTGCTTGACACAGGGATAATATCAGCCAGGGGTAAAGCATGGCAGGAGCTTGTTAGACTTGCATATTCATCTAGCCATGTCATGATCAAGGAGCTCATAACTGGCAGAAAAGAGGTGAGCAAATATTTCCTAACACACTGTCCAATTTTTCACAACAGGCTCTCTCATTTACTGCAGACTTGCTTCATCGAATCAAGGCTATGTGATTATTCTGAAAATGCATGTGTTGCATTTGTAGTAGTTGGAGATATCGGTCTACTAATGAGCAACTTCCCTTAAAAGACATAATCACTCATTACTTCAGTTTGGGAGTTATAAATAAATTTGCTATAATTCTTGCAGTGCTGGATGCTCTTCTAGCTGTACAATACAATATTCTATCATCCTGAATTTTACGAAAGTTAGATGCTGTCTGTCTCTGTTTCGCTCTTTGCTTTGATATGCTAGAAGCAACAGTAGTCTGCTTTTCCATCCTAAAGAGAGGCATTGGCATTGTTAGGCTGCTTTATGTTTTATTTTATATTGAGACCAGATTTTCCTAACCTTTTTTCTTTGTCATGATAAAGCTCTGAATATTCCAAACCTCATTAATCTCATCTTTATGGAATTTTTTTTGTTAGACCAGAAATTCAAAGTGACGTCCTAAACTCATTTTCTTTTGCTCCATTGCTTCCATTAGTTACGTTTATCATTTATCTAACTGTAGATTTGATATAATATATTTCATTTCGTGGGTTCATATTACCCGATCTATTGCAGATGAGCTTATACGAAGATCTTGTTGCTGCATGGGTGCCTTCCAGGCATGAATGGTTAAGGACCCGTCCATTTGGCATGGAACTAATTGCTGCTTTGGGAAAGCACAGGATGTTCAGCTTTTGTTCATGTATGTTCTCTTTAGAATTCATTATGTAGCAGTTGCAAGTAAATTATGCTGATTCTCTTTCTGGTATGGCTGTGCATTAAATTCTCCTGTATTTGACAAACAGTTCACATGTTATATTTCTGATTAGTTTTGTGTGATATTATGCCTTTTGCAAAGCTAAGTTGTGACCATTTTCTTTTCAGATGATTTCTCATTTTTACATTTTGGCACATCCGCTGAAGTTCTTGATCACTTGGCGGGCTCATATTCAGGACTTGTAGGGCGAAGGCACATGTCTTCGATACCAGAGACTACTGCTTGTGATATTGCGGCAACAGCTGTCATTTTGTCCAGTAAAATTTCTGCTGGGGTCTCAGTTGGAGAGGATTCATTGGTCTATGATTCATCACTTTCAGGTAGAATTAGGATTGGCTCACAATGTATTGTTGTTGGGGTGAATATACATGAGTTACATGGGAACAGGTCTCAGATAATCAGTACTAGCTCATACTTCACATTACCTGATCGACATTGCCTCTGGGAAGTCCCTTTGGTAAACTCTGTGGAAAGAGTAATGGTTTACTGTGGCCTTCATGATAATCCAAAAGTATCTATGAAGAAAGATGGGACATTCTGTGGCAAACCATGGAGAAATGTCTTGGAACATCTTAAAATCCAGGATACAGATCTGTGGAGCTCAACCAATGAAGACAACTGCTTATGGAATGCAAAGCTTTTTCCAGTCATGTCTCTACCTGAAACGCTGAAAGTAGGTATGTGGCTTATGGGATCGACATGTGACCTGGATGGCAAAGTCGCTTCCCTGTGGAAAGAATCACGGAGGATCAGCTTAGAAGAGCTGCATCGTTCGATTGACTACCATCAGCTCTGTGTGAATTCAAGCAAGCATCAAGCAGATCTAGCAACCAACATTGCTAAAGCTTGCATGACCTATGGCTTGCTTGGGCGCAACCTGTTTCAACTATGTGAGGAAATGCTACAAAAGGAAAATTCATGCGTAGAAGTCTGTAATGAGTTACTTTCGCTTTGTCCCAGTCATGGGGATCAGTATTCTGGTGTTCTTCCGCAGAGCAGAAGATACCAGGTCAAAATGGATCTGCTTACAGCTTCTGGAGATCTTTCCACTGCAGCTATTGTTGAAGATAAAGTGTGGGCTTCCATAGCAAGTGAAACTGCATCAGCTATAAAATATGGATCTAAAGGTACAGTCTGTACACTACCAACAAACTTAATGCTATTTTTTCTGTCGCTTTTCTCAAAATGCAGTTATGTCTTCCAGGCAACGAGCTAAATGTGGTTCATTTTACCATTATCAATATTGATGTTTATATCAATCTAGTTAACACATATGTATGATTTTGTAGAGCCATCAAGCGATTCCAAGTGTTCAAGTAATGGTAACCTGCATCCTAAGAAGGCTATTGTGGAATTACCGGTCCGTGTCGACTTTGTCGGGGGTTGGAGTGATACACCTCCATGGAGTTTGGAGCGTCCAGGTTGTGTTTTGAATATGGCAATACGGTTGGAAGGGAACCTTCCAGTTGGTGCTATGATAGAGACAACAATGGACCACCTTGGAGTTCTCATTGAAGATGATGCTGGCAGAAATGTTTGTATTGATGACCTGTCTTCTATTACTTCACCATTCAAAGAAAATGATTCATTCCGTTTAGTCAAGTCTGCTCTTATTGTGACTGGTGTCCTAAACCATGAAAGATTGTCAAAATTAGGGTTGAACATTAGGACATGGGCAAATGTTCCTCGTGGAAGTGGTCTGGGAACTTCTAGCATATTAGCAGCTGCGGTAGTTAAGGGGCTATTCCAACTTATAGAAGGTGATGAAAGTGATGCAACTGTTGCTAGAGCTGTGCTGGTAGTAGAGCAAGTAATGGGCACAGGCGGTGGATGGCAAGATCAAATTGGTGGCCTATATCCTGGAATCAAGTGCACTCAGAGTTTTCCAGGACAGCCATTGCGTTTGCATGTTGTTCCATTGCTGGCATCTCCGCAGTTGATTCAAGAATTACAACAACGTCTCCTGGTTGTGTTCACTGGTCAAGTAAGTATGAATTTTCTGCTGTAAGCATATATAACATAGTAGATAAACTGAAATTAGGGCTAGAAGTTTCAATTTACAAACAGTAGCCTGTTCAAGTTCCACCATGATTCTAAGATTTGTACGTCCAAACAAGATTCCTTCCAAGTGTGCACGCCCATCCATTTTCCACATTGATTTTGCTTCAAAAGAGTATAATTTTCTCCCCAAATGAATGTATACTCTGCACAGGTAAGGCTTGCCCACCGGGTCCTGCAGAAAGTTGTCACTCGATATCTCCGCCGTGATAGCCTGTTGATATCTAGCATCAAGAGGCTTGCTGAGTTGGCGAAAATTGGAAGGGAAGCCCTGATGAATGGTGAAATAGACGAGCTTGGTGGCATAATGTCGGAGGCCTGGAGGCTGCATCAGGAGCTAGATCCTTTTTGCAGCAACAAGCTTGTGGACGAATTGTTTGCATTTGCTGACCCTTACTGCTGCGGCTACAAGCTTGTTGGAGCTGGTGGGGGCGGCTTTGCGTTGATGCTTGGAAAGAATCTTAACTCTGCCAAAGAACTCAGACAAGCACTCGAGAATTCTGCCACCTTCGATGTAAAGGTGTACAACTGGAACGTTGCTATGACACCATGAACAAGTATAGAACTCGCGGAGCATATGTTTTCTTACTTTTCCTTCTGGTAAACAGAAGTTGCATATACTGCTGGAGCCTGGCGTCATTGTACATTTGTACCGTCCGGTTCATTTATTCAGATATGAAGTGCATTATTTCAACAATCTAATTGTTCCAGATATTCGTTTCTTGCATAACACTATCTGATACTACCTCTGTCCTACGAAGTGTACATTCACTTGTCCAGATTTGTGTACAAGAGTGAACTCTTTTTTGGATGGAGGCGAGTTGCAGGTCTAAGGTTGAGTGGCTTCAATGATTAATAATTTGTGAATGTCTTAAAAATGAAGTGCCGGCACGTACCAGCCATGCCTGCATTGCTATGGAAGTGATCATGCATGGACAGTTGATGGACATCAGGACACGGTTTTTTCCATCCAACATGACAGATTTCTGTGGAAGCCAACATGGTTTGCCCGATGGTGCTTGGCAACACAGCTAACCCTATGGACAGCAGCTTCCTGTTTGTGCCAGGCAGCCAAGGTAATATGAAGAGTACTGTTCAAGATCACGTTATCAATGCCTGGACCATCGAATCTCTTCTGTCTGGGACTAGCAGTCCAGGACACCGACACGATGAGGCATCTGTTAAATACTACTACTTCATGTGGTAGATCTGTTCCATGGCCATCTTTAAATACTTCACTGTTTGCCTAATGATGTGATGAACAGATGAAGTGGGACAGTAAGATCTTGCAATGGTGTAAATGGCAAGCTAGAAGCTGCAGATGCAATGGATGCCAGCTGAGTTGATCGATGCAAAAAAAAAAAAGAATCATCACCATCATTTCATTGTACAATCCAATACAAACGGATAAAAAATAAGAATATGGAGATCCAAGCTCTGATCATCCAAAGTTAATAATAAACTCCCTAAGATAAAATCCACAATCAACAAGATGCTCTCACAGCAAGAAGACGGCGAAGGCAAGAGCAGCAAGAAGGACGGATCCAGCTCCGCCGGCGGCGGCGGCTCGGGGCGCCGCCGACTGTCGCGCTCCGGCGGGGCCGAGCGCCGCCGACTCGAACCCCGCCGGCGCCTCGGCCGGCATCGGCGCGAAGGCGGCGAGGTCGTTGGCGGTGGGCGGCAGGTAGGTGCCGTTGGCCATGGGCACGTCGACGGCCAGCCTCTGGCCCTTCCGGCAGTGTCCCAGCGCGGCGCTGATGTAGTAGACGCGGCCGGGCGTGGTGAGGTTGAAGACGGAGTTGCCGTCGTCGAGCTTCAGCACCGGGTCCGACGCCTGGCAGGCGGCGAACGCCACCGGCGTCACCTGCACCACCGAGTCCTGGCTCGGCGGGTACAGAAACCCTGCGTGAATCATACCCAGTGAAGAAGATGAGTTACGGCGTATTTACAAACGAAAAATAATTTAAGAGTAAAATTTTTATAATCAGCTAAAAACAAAGTCTGAAAAATAAATTTCGATGAAAAAAATTTTAAAATCAGCTTTAAATCTGAAGTTGAAAAATTTAAATTTCGGTTGATAAGTACAAACATAAGAAAAAGACGAGGCCTCTAATCGCGATGATCCAGTGCTTACAGATGGAGTCGCCGAGCGCGAAGTGGATGGATTTGGCCCAGCGCGAGTAGACGTCGGGCTTGGACGGCGGCGGGATGCCCCAGGCGTCGAGGTCGCCAACCTTGTACATGGCGCCGCCGCAGCCGTCGATGAGGAGGAGCAGCGCCACCGCCGCCGCGGCGACGAGAGATGCCAATGCCGACGCCCCACGCATCCTTCCTCGCTTAGCTCTCGCCGCTTTTCTTTTCTTCTCGTCCTAGCAAAGCAAAGCACAAGCAAGCGACCAGTGCTCACACTCTGCCACCTCCTTGTTCGTTTCTTTGCCTATTTATGACGAGGCGGTTTGGATCGTTGGAGGCTAACGGGCGGAATTGACCGAGAGAGAGATGTCGCGGCTCGATCGATCGAGCCATGTGTCGGCCGGAATCCCCGGCCTAAAATCATCATGTAAAGACGTGTGTGGGTTTGGTTTGTGCTCGTAAAACGGCAGGATTAGTACTTAGTGGGCACTAAGCATGTGGTCCATTGCATCGTTAGCCACTAACTAATGATATACTGTTAGTGTTAGTAACTCGGGAATGGATCGAAAGGGTTTGTGTTTACCTGTGTCTGTTTGGCTCCAGTTGGGAGTGGGCTGGTGGTGCTGCTCATCAGACGCAGCACGTGGGTCAGTGGAGGGGAGCACGTGGATTCAGAGATCTGAGCTTTTGTTTTTCTTCGCTAGATTATCGTATTCGTCTATAGCTATAGCAGCTGTGTTTGCGATGATTAGTTAGGGTATGTTTAGTTCACTTGTTTGATTAAAATTGGAACAATATAATGAAAAAGTTAAATGTTTCTGTGTAAGTGACGAAAAAATTAGAAGTTTTAAAAAAAAATTTAAAACTAAACTCGGCCTTAGCTATAGTGGTGGTATGGTCGAGACATGGGAATGGGAGTTCCAAGCAATGCTAGCTCATGGAGACAGTAGCTCGTGCAGCTCGCCCTTGTATACAAAACAGTTTGCTGCTTTTGGCTAACCACTTGCTCTGACATACCGTGTGTGTACCACACCACAGTCCATGTTACTGTCGCCTCTGCCGTGTAGCGCGAATCCTCCTCGTCGGGCGCATGATGGGTGAGAAAAAAAATAACTGACGATGTTTCATTATATATAAATCAAATATTACAGTAGATTTTTATACTATTTAATAATTTTATCTTGATGGACATATGATTTGTTTTTTTATGTATATAGGATTTAAGTGTTGCAATGACTTTAAACGTTTGTTGCATATATTGAACCAAATTATTTCATCTAGCGATCTGACCGTTTTTTGCTTTTTTTAAGAATTGAAATATTCTTTCGCTATTTACTGAAACATTGTTTTTATATAAGGTGAAACAACGTCCGATTTTTTGGAAACCGTTGCTTCATATATTGTAGCAAAATGTTTTATAAAGTGATTTGGTTGTGTTTCAGCTTTTTAAAAGATTAAAACATTTTTAATCTATTAACTAAAAATTTTTCGATCTACTTAACGAAACAACGTCCAATTTTTTTTTTGAAAAAAGAATCGGGCGCCCAATTCGCCTCCGCCGTGTTGGGTTTGCCTCCAGCGAAGCACAACTAAAGTGTGTGATGGGCCGATCGGTTGATGGGCCATCATCCACCACTTTGGTCGATGGGTTAATGGGTCGCCTAATCAACTCCCGGGCCATCAAAATTGCGGCCCATGAATCGCAAGGTCGGCGACCGCGAAAATATCACATCACACACACACGCAAACGCAAGTGGCTTGGGGCTCCAGAAAGTTGTGTAAAATAATAAAGAGGCCGACGCGGAATACGCGCAGTCAGCTCCGTGCCGAAACCCTCCTCCTCTTCCTCTCTGCCTTTCTTCCGCTCCACGCCGCCCTCCGCCGCCGCCGCCATGGCTGATCCGCGGCTGTTCTCGTCGGGATCCGGCACCCGCGACGACCGGACGGACGCCTCCGGCAGGCGGCTGTACAACCCCTACCAGGACCTGAATATCCCCTACAAGCAGCTCTACGACCTCCCCACCTCCCCGGAGTTCCTCTTCCAGGAGGAGTCGCTCGCCCAGCGCCGCTCCTGGGGCGAGAACCTCACCTACTACACCGGCATAGGCTACCTCTCGGGCGCCGTCGCCGGCGCCGCCGTCGGCCTCCGCGACGCCGCGCGCAACGCCGAGCCCGGGGACACCGCCAAGATCCGGGCGAACCGCGTCCTCAACTCGTGCGGCAGCAACGGCCGCCGCATGGGGAACACGCTCGGGGTCATCGGCCTGCTCTACGCCGGGATCGAGAGCGGCATGGTCGCCGTCCGCGACCGCGACGACTGGATCAACAGCGTCACCGCGGGGCTCGGCACCGGCGCGCTCTTCCGCGCCGCCAACGGGCCGCGCTCCGCCGCCGTCGCGGGCGCCATCGGTGGGGTCCTCGCCGGCGCCGCCATGGCAGGCAAGCAGGCGGCGAAGAGATATGTGCCTGCCCTCTGATTCGTCCGCACGGTATTCTCTCTGCTGTGATAAGAAATGGTCGAATCAATTGGTCGCCAAAAGGAATGTCATTTCTTCGTTTTGCTCTCCTGGTTAATTTATTATTGGAGAAGGGTTTTCTTCTCGACATTATATTTTAGCGTTATGTTACATGTAATCGATATGATCGGATCAGATCACTAAATTTTTGGCCTATGTTGCAATGTAACGTCTTCTCGAGTAGCTAGTTAGCTGGTACCAACACAATAATACATACTTTTACGTTATGCTGATGGTGAGTCCGTGACAATGTGAAATGTAATGTTCATTGTAGTGTAGTTTTCCTAGATTATTATGGTGTGTGTTTCACTTGCGATGAAACAATATGCCATAAAAGAGTAGGCTAATGTTTGCACATTTCTAATCTATCTATGGATGCCATCCTCATTATGTGCTGCGATTTACATTCTACCAAGTAATGCATTCCGGTTGCAGGGTCAAATGGACATAAAGATATTTAGTTATACCCAATGTTGCTTCCTATGTATAACTATATATCCTTATGTCTGTCTGAACCCGTAGTTCTCAAGGACTTCCACATGCATTTTATTGTGTATAATGGATATTGATGATCTTTGCATATTGTTATATCATTTGATGCTCTATTGCAACTATACAACAATGTTTTTGTTTGCATGTTTGGCATTTGACTCTTGGTACAAGTCACACTACCGACTACTACCTGCGTTCCCAAATATAAGAGAATTTGTCTATGTAACTGCATAGGCAAAATCCCTCATGTTTGGGGATGGAGGTAGTACTAAGTACTAGTATCAAGTACTGATATGCTATATTGCCATGTTACGTGGTGATTGTTATGCTCTGATGTTTCAATGTAAGATATTCATTAGGAATTTGTAAGGTTTCTGTTTGGCATCTGTAAAACACACTGCCAGTCTTGATGTTTGGCATTTGTAAGCTGCCGGTTTATGTTGAAAGCACATTATTTCTTGTTCAGTGATATCTGAATGTTACTGGTCCAAATTTTAGTTCAAACTTCCACCGTATTTTCCCTTACGAATGGATTTTTTAGTTTGTATTCTCCAGACCATAGCATATTACAATGTTCATGTTTTCTATCTATTGCAGTCTTATCCTGTTCTGTTACTACTGTACTTTGTTCTTATTCTGTAAATTGATGTGTTTTCTGTCACCAATTTTCTTGGTCTTGAACGGATCTATTGATAAAGCTGATAACTACCAAACTTTAGGTTATGGAAGAATCATGTATTTCACCACCAGCTTCTGTTTTCCTTCGTATGTGCTCTTTTTATACTGTATGTTGGCCTAGTTGGCTAGTTCTTTTTGTCCTCTTTCAGTATAATGTTTTGGTGGGTTAACTCTTATCATATTCTGATGTTACAATTCGGTTGGTGGGTTAGGCAGACAACTGTTCTTCTGTTGAGCTTCGAACCTTTTCCTTGTGGGCATTTCTGAGATGTGGCCATCCTCTTATACTTGTGCAACCCACCATTTATATTCCTTCCTAGTTTTTACTTGTATGTTCGTAAAGCTTTCGACTTTTTTGGCTCGTCCAATAATCCGGTGCAGCAAACAAGATCTTTTCCTTTCATTTCCTTATGAGTTGCATTGTGATGAACTATTTCACCTATCACTTGTATGTTCTTAAAGCTTCGAACCTTTTTGGCTCGGATAATAATCCGGTGCTGCATACAAGACCTTTTCCTTTCATTTCCCTATGAGATGCAGTGTGATGAACCATTTCACCTTATGGCAGACTAGCATGTATATTCAGCATAGATTTAGGCATATAAGATGTGATAAATTCAAGAGCTTTACTGTAGGGTGATGTTACGGCAAGAACAATAATCCCTTCTGATCATCAAGTCAAATTTATCTCGCGAGTCGTGAGTGCCCGGTACGAGGATGTTGGATCAAGTCTGTTTGGACGCGTACAAGTATGAAAACTCCTGTACGCCAGATCACAGATGTGACTATGTAAGAGACTGCAAGAGATTGTCTGTAAGGGACAATAATTTCGAGGAAACAACACGATATCTGAGAAGGCCTTCTCTCGTGTAAAATATAACTTCGATTAGGATATCCGTAGCATTTAATTTCATACAATGTCATGCTGGTGAATAACAATAACAAATAACAAATGACAACATGAATAGCCTATATCTCGGCTATAGCTCAATGCTTGCTGAACTATGTATTGCCTCTCGTGCCTACTACATTTGCTCCACAGATGTGAACTACCAGCCAATGGTCAATCGACATTGCAGAAATAAAGTTACAAACAAAAACAACTGCTCTTTTCTGCAACGTCCAATCTTATTCAGCAGCTCGGTAGAAATGAATTGCAGTATGCCACATGCTTATATTCGATCTGTTTGTATGATCCTATCAATCCTTAAGGATTCAGTGGCTCATCTTCATCAACCATCTCTTGTGCTTCTGCAGAAAATGTTAACCCCAACAGTTAGGAATCAAAGAAATTGATTGGCAAAGCGATTTTAGTTTTTATATGTGGAGTAATGAAGAAAGATGCATACTTGTCGATGATTTGTGTAGGTCAGAAACAACCATTAGCCGTCTCTGCAGGATTGCCGCCATGAAGAGGAAGATAGAACACATGCCAAACATGACAGTGATAGGGAATGCATTCACCTGCAAAATTCACAGAAAAAAATGTTATTTTTGAAGGAAATCAACAGATTAGAATCATGAGATTCAGTAAGAACACTTTCACTTACATTGTAAAGCACCACACAAACAAACAAGTTCAGTGGTATGCGGAAGAAATTCATGATTGTGCTTCTTGCCTCCTCAGGAATATATTGAGATCTCATCTTCATGATTGATGGCCAGAATATGCCAACGCATGCCTCAAAGGTACAGAAACCAAGCAGCTGCAGAGTGCCTCCAAATGAGATGCTACCTCCTTTCACTGAAGAAGTTGGCACTAGAATCTGTTCAACATTTAGCAAACGGATGTTAGGCTCTGAATTATAAGAGAAAAATTGACAGGCAGTATAAGCAGTGTTCTTACGTTGGTGACAACAGGAAGGAAAAGGGTGAAGGCTGATATTGTAAACACGATCTGCATATAACCTTCGACCTTCAGCTTTCGGGCTAACAAGCGTGCAGCAATTGAGCTACCCAACATTGATGACAGCATGAATGTGGCAAATATGAAGCCATGAGGAATATCTTCTTCATTTGGGCTCAACGCCGGAGTCCAGAGGAAGACGAAAGTATACATTGAGCCCTCAAACAATGACTGTATGGCTCCCAGTAATGCAATTTTTTCATCTAAAGATTTCAAGGATGATGTCAGAATGCCGATTGTCAACTTTGATACATATCTGTTTATCTGTCAATCCAATAAGATGAGTTAAGCATACCTGAAGCAATTGCTTTGGCTGCAACCTTGAACTGGGACATCAAATCCTTGCTTTCAGATGGGTCTCCATAGTTTTCACTCCATGAAGACATTATGATAGCCATGCCTATTGCCAGGAAGCATGCAGCAGCATCAAATGGTGCCACGGGACCAAAGCCCAAGTTGTCGGCAAGCAGGTTTGCAAATAGCCCGGATACAATTGCGACCAGGCCATTGCCAAGAAATATAGCCTTGGAGAATGTGATCGACAGCCATTGTGAATCAAAACCTCTCTGTGAAAGGAAATGCCAAGGTTAAACTTTACAGTGAAAAATTGATAACGCAGATAAGAAATTGACTGTAATACATTGGAGAAGTTTGCAAACGACAAGGACCATTTATTAGTTAGTTAATCAAAACGACAGTTTTGTCACGGGAAGAACACTGCATAGTAGTGTGTCACAGACTCACAGCCTCACAGGCAACAGATACTGTACCTGGATCCTTGGATTCTTATTGATAATTGAATGAATTATTGAATATGTCCGAGATTAATATCCATATAGGAGACGGCACATGGCCGAATAAAAGGACAATTTGTAGTGAGTGTGAGGCTATCCTAAATACTCCAGCTTTATTAAATGGGCCATGCTTGTTAAATGCCTATCCTTGTGACGATGCAACCATCTTATTCTGATCCACCGACACAATGACCAGAAAGAAAACAAAAAATGGTGGCTATGAGCTTGCAACTATACTAGAACTACTAGCTATACTCCATACTGCCTCCGTCCCATCCTAAGTGCAGTTATATATTTCTGTGTCCAACGTTTGACCATTCGTCTTATTTAAAATTTTCTTATGATTAATATTTTTTTTGTTGTTATTGAATGATAAAATATGTAGTACTTTATGCGTGACTTATTTTTTTATTTTTTTCATAAATTTTTAAATAAGACGGACAGATAAACATTGAAATAGAAACCGATAATTGCAAAATGGGACGGAAGGAGTACTAGATTTCAGTCTTCTCTTTTCAGATCCTGACAAAATGACCTTTTACTGTGTAGTCCTAATCTCAAACTGAAAATCCTTTTTTTATGTGCCTAATTGAGTAAGTAGTCAAACATCCCAAAATAAAAGTACTCCTATGCTCCTAGCTCGCTTGGATGACAAGGATGTGATTATGTGAATGAATCCAAATGACGCTCTAATAGTTTATTCACAACAAAGATAGGAATAATTTTAGTTACTTAAGGTTAAAACATTCCAAATATGTATTCTTTATACCACTAGAACATGCCCTTCTAGATAGACAACTAAAAAAAAAGAGGAAACTTTGGATTAAAGTTAAAGTCAGACCAGACACAGCTGCAAAGCATCAGTGTGAGGGGGGACACTGACAAGCAGATCTGGCCCTGCGTATAATTACAGTAATACTAATTACTCCCTTTATCCCATAATATAAGACACGATCAAACTTGACACGATCGTCAAAACTAATATTTATCTTATAATTTCTCATATATTATAAGGTTTATAGTAATAAAATTATAACCCTATGAAAGTAAATTGAAATATCAATCCAATAATATAACTTTTAGCAAGTAAAATTTAATTCATATTGTACTAAAAATCCGTCAAAATGTTTTGAAGGTAGAATCTTGAAATGTGTGAGCGTCCAGTACCTTGTTGTGCTCCGCGACGAGCCATGACTCGAACGCCGAGAAGAGCAGCGAGGTGGCGATTCCTCCGAGCACGCGGCCGATCATGAGGATCTTGTACTCGGGGGAGTGCTTGGTGATGCAGCTGAGGATGTAGCTGATGCAGTAGGTGATGCACGCCCTCTTCCTCCCCCTGAAACACACAGATTTTTCTGTCAGTCTCAGCGCGGGGCACAATCTGTGACAATCGGAGAGGAAATCGATGAAGAAGAAACGTACTGCTTGTCGGCGAGTGATCCGACGATGGTGCCGAAGAGCATGGAGGATCCGAAGCCGGCGATGAAGAGGCGGCCGATGTCGCCCTTGTCGAAGCCGTACTGGCTGTAGAGGTAGTACACGTACGGCCCTTGCAGCCAGTCCCCGGCTGCACAAGATTGATGAAAGCCATGAATCCCAGATCCGGGAGGACGAAAATGCGCCAAGAATCGAAGAATGACATACACATCATGAGGGAGTAGACGAGGACGTAGTTGTTCTTGAAGGAGTTGAAGGCCTGGGAGGTGGTGACCCGGTCCTTGGCGCTCTTGCCGAGCTCCAGCCCGGCCACCACGGCGGCGAGGCCCCCGAACACGAGGTAGTAGAACACCTCCATGGCTCCTCCGACCTCCGCGAGAGAGAGAGAAAGATGGAATGGACGAAGCGCGGGTGGATGGATCGGCGAGTCGACTCCTCAAGCCGGTGGGATTTATACGCGCGTTTCTTGGGATTTCGGGTGCGGTGCGTGTGTGTGGTAATTCTGGCTGGTTGGGGGTTGGGTTTTGGGGGCAGTGGAGTGGGGGGTTTGAGTGTGCGTGCGCCAAATCTTCGGCCGGCACGCACTTGCGGTTGATGGGAATTGCGCTTGCTGCTGCCGCCGCGGGATCGGATGTGTTTGTGTGTGTCTGTGCGTCTGGGGCCCAACGGTGGTTGAGATTTCTTCCAATTGATGATGATGAATCCAGTCCCAGTGGTGGTGGATAGATGGATTTTGGGTGTTCTTCTGCTTGGCGGCGTTACTGACACAATTCTCGATCGTCAGCGAATTTTTCTTGGTTGAGTAGACAATGACACGTATAGTAGTATACCGCGTAGCCAGACTGCCGGATACTAGTACTGTAGTACAGTCGGTGGAACGAACATCGGATTGGCGGTGCCCCAGTGCCAGATCAACCAAACCTTGTTCGTTTTCTCTCCTCATCTCTCTCGAATGGATCAAGTTAATTACTTGCGCGCTGTGAAACAAGTGTCGGCGTGAGGGTGAGGCAATGGACCACTGCAATGGACGGTGGATCTACCCTGGCAGCGGCAGTACACCAGTGCTTGCGCAGAGACAATGCCTAGCTCACCCATGCTCATCGTCCCGGTCCATCACAACTCACAAGTTCACAAACTATCATTTCTTTAACTCCTTGGCATTTGATATCGTGGTTATGACTAGCATTGCACTGGCGGTCTCCCATCTCTGACTCCGAATGTGATGTCCTCTTTGGTCAACGACTCACACTTGCAGCATGTTTGGCCCTAAACCACTGCAGCTAGCTTGCAATTGCAAGCGGTGGAGAGATTTTCTAATGCGATCTGATCGGTTTGGTTTGGTTTTTTGTCGAGCCGAGTCGCACACGGTTAGGCACGCTCACGCGCACTGCGTCGCGTTGCGTGGTGCGGCGACCGAACCACCCAAACGCGCCATGTTTATCCAATGGGATTACCCGCGGAGAAATCCCACGCTCTCCACCGCCCCGCGCGCTACGGCGCCGGTGAGATCGAATCGCGGAGAGAGGGAGAGAGGAGGCGATGGACGGCGGAGCGGAGCGGAGCGTCCTCATCATCCGCGGGCGTTTGCTAGGTAGGTGCATCCGATTTCCATCGCTAGCTTGCGGCGAATCGCCCTTGTGGATCCTTGAGGCGATGCCCTAATCGCGCTTTGCAATGCGGGCGGATGTACATGCGGCGGCTTCAAGGGGCGACGGTTGGAGGAGCAGCGGTGCCCGCAGGTGGTACCTCATTTGGTAGTGCGCCGAGGGGTGAGACGAAAGTGATGCAACTGCAAGCGGATCGCTCGCCTCCTCCAATCCTCGGTAAGGTTCCGAAACTTCCGATTCGGTTGTAGAATATTGTTTAGGGTTAACTGTTTTTTTTCCCGGGGTGAATGCAGATTTAGTCGCGTCAGTGGTGGGGCAAATGTAGATTTAATCATGGCATCGTTGATGTGTTGCACGAATTAACTTTTGCGACATAATATGTTGAGTTCTGAGTATTGTATGTGTGTTCAGTTTACGGTGGATGATTCAGATATTTGGTTTGCAGAGTTAGTCTGGGACAGAACCTTCGTATGGGTAGACAAGCTAAATTGGCATAAATAATGTGATTATGAATTGGCAATAATTTTTTTCTGGTTGTGTCATGTGTGGTGAATTGTTACAAGGTTTTTGGTTTCTAGGTTTAGATTGTTTTGATCATTGTTTAAGTATACAGACTAAATGCAGTTCCAGTGGATCTTGCACATGTATGTACACACGCAGGATCTAGAGCTGGCTTAGGTAGTTTAAGGGGCCATGCTTCCCTCAAGAGCCTTGAGAATGTGATGGCTGAACTAGTTTTGCACGCGCTGCTGCACGTAAGCAGATTATGGTGCCTGCAGCATCAACCGTCTGATCTTATTATATCATTGTTCAGAAAGGTGAAGGAATGAATTAGGTATTTTCAGCACTGGATGCTCCTTTAGTTTAAGGGTAAGAGAGAAATGAGAAAGATGGAAAGTAGGTTGTGATGTGGAGCAGCAGACATAGTATGTAACAATTTTATTCAGCTTTTGTTCAGCAAATGTTGTTATCTGGGATAAGTATATGGCTATTGGGGATGAGATAGTTCAGGTAAGGACTAGGTAGATTGGATAGAAGCATTGTGAGGATTGGAATCAGTGAGCTTTGGTTTGTTGGTTAGTTATTTCAGGGAGGAAGAATATGGGAAGATGGTGAGTAGGCTGTGAGGTTGAATGACCTGTAAAACAGAGTAATCTTTAGTAAATCTGAAAAGAGAAAGGGTGCCCCTGGTTTTTTTTTTGAAGGTATAGTGATTAGTGAGTGACAATTCTAAGCAAGGGTCCAAATGCCAATCACCAAAACGAGGATGTAGTTTCAGTTGATAGCAACAGATACAAAATAAGGTAGATAATAGTATCAACAATTTATATATGAGAACCGTAGAGAACGTCCAAACTAAAGTTAGGGTGTGTTTAGTTCACGCCAAAATTGGAAGTTTGGTTGAAATTGGAACGATGCGACGGACAAGTTAGAAATTTGTGTGTGTAGGAAAGTTTTGATGTGATGGAAAAGTTGGAAGTTTGAAGAAAAAGTTTGGAACTAAACAAGGGCTTAGGAGCCTAGCAGTAATTTTCCCTCCTTCAAATAGGGGTTGCCCTTTATTTGTGCATACTGACAGCACTTGTAGCTAGGGACTAGAGTGGTATACACTATATATTATAAGTTTTCTCATTTGGTATAGGACTGTAGTTATGTTTACCTTTTCAGGTTTTCATACACGGATATGTAGAAAGATAACCAAGGTGTAATATTTGTAAGAATTAGTTTGACCCACTACTTTAGTTCTGGTCTCATGACATATATAAGCATTGTAAAGACATACCAGTACTAAACATCAACATATATTTCTTTCTTAATGTCAGAACTAAGTATCGATAATATTCATTTTGGAATATTTATGCAGCATAAATCAACAGACCATTTACCTTCAGAAGCTGGGGTCATCTCTACACTGACTTCACTAGTTTTGTTAAGCAATTCCCCATCCCATGGAGAACCAGGAAACAGAGTAATAGCTCAAGGTCCAGGCATGTCATCAAGGGTTTGACATCATGACTCAAATTGTTGGTGGCATGTCATTTCAGAGCGCTACAGCAATCCCAGGATGACAAAATGATCCATTTATTGATGCTTAGTAAGTCATTTTTTTCTTTGAACCTATCATTTTCTTTACCTTTTCTTTATTCAGTATCAAAGTTACTGTTTTCCTTTTTTCCCTGCATCAACAGCACTTGTCACTTTACTAGACTGTTCTTGTGGCAAAACAGCCCTGGTAAAGAATGAATAGCTATTTAGGCTAAACTGAGACCCCCATTATATGCATTTAAATATTTCATGTGCACTGAAAATGTAACAAAGCATGATCAACATCCACTAGCAGGAGGCATAGTATTTTAGTCAGTTTGGCCCTGTTTAGATCCCATCCCAAAATTTTTCACCCTGTCACATCGAATGTTTGAATACTTACATGAAGTATTAAATATAGGCTAAAAAAATAACTAATTGCACAGATTGTGACTAATTTGCGAGACGAATCTTTTAAGCCTAATTGCTCCATGATTTGACAATGTGGTGCTATAGTAAACATTTGCTAATGACGGATTAATTATGCTTAATAAATTTGTCTCGCGGTTTACTGACGAATTCTGTAATTAGTTTTTTTATTAGTGCCCGAACACCACATGCGACACCCTATATAATACCCGATGTGGCACGCCACACCCCTAGATCTAAACACCCCCTTAATCTGAAAAAAAGGGTCATTTTGCAGCTCCAAGCTCTCATTTCCTGATTTCCTTTTGTTTTCTGTATGTTGGCATGCATATTAGACATAAAAATTTGAGACATGATAAGGTGGACCATCATCATTGATGCCCCTTCAGCCCTTCTAAACCTCTCCCCGTTGGGCTAGATTTTCCTAATTTCCTGTATCGTATGCTTCATGAAATACAATAATAAGCCCTGCTATCTGTTGTATCTTGGGGTGTTATGAGGCTGTTAAATGATATTATCCTAAAAATAATTTTGATGCATGCTCTGCACTAAAGTATATCTATGTAATGGATCACATAAATAGTGAAATAATTCTCACTTTGTTCTCATATCGTCTCATTTTTCTTGGTAATCAGTTGGTACAGACTTTGGTAATTGTGGGATCTGAAATGCTAATTTACAACTCGAAACAGCTAATACTCTTAGAAACTGTGTTTGTATATGAATGTGTATCAGCTTTTCAGTAGGTCAATCTGTTGTATCTCAACCTAACCTAACGGCCGATTTAAATGAGGCATGTCAGGCATGAGAAGGGAGGCAATTTTGATGACTTGTACCCATATCATCCTTTTGCCTTCTCTTATAATAGTGGACTTTTACAAATGTACAGGTGTTAACCATGTCTGGCGTTCACTGAGGTTTTTAACTCGTTTTGTGCAGGCAACTCTGCTGGGGGCATACCGTATGATTCCTCGTGAAGTGGAGTGGATCATGACGGTATTGAATTTTGATTTCTCCTTGCTGCTTGACTTGTGTAAGAAGGCCCAGCCTATGCAGCCGTGCGAGGTTTTGTAGGCCTTGGTTAGAACATAGAAATGGGCAGCGTCGTGCCCTTAGTTCATATATACTAGTTTCTAAGAAATTCATATATAAGGAGTTTTCGCGAAATCGCACCGTTTGATAGACCAAAAGGCATGGCGTTGGATGGAATAGTTGCATTCCTTAGAAAAGGATGCACCCTGTCTTTCATCCTTTTTCCGAAAAATATTCTTCCTGTTTCTTAATGTATAAGGATCAAAGGCGTCCTTCTTATGGCAAAGGATCGTGGCGTTGACGCTACAGTACTGTATAACACTGCAGCTAAAGCACATAAACATGCAATAGCATGCATGGGCCAACGCTCTTCATGATTGATCATTCAGCATATGCCATACCTGATGGCGCTAGCAATCTTGCATCAAAATTTTAGACTGAACCAACATCTTGCTGACATGCTGGTTTCCTTTAGTCTTTAGAGCTTCGTATACAAGCATCGGAATATCTTATCCTTTTCTTTTTGGGCTTTTCTTCCGTGTGACTGAGGTGTTCTCTGTTAATGGCTGGCCCATCCTTCTAGAGAATAGAATATGTTCTTTGCATGCATGAAGCTTATTCAAAAGGGATATACATGAAGGTTATCCTAATGGTTGACTGTTGGTTATATGCATGTAATTAGATCAGTTACCAGTGATTGTCAAAACTTATGGTGTGCAGTTGCTCGTACTTGCGTGATTATTTAATACTACGTGCATATGTGCTTGTTTATTCAAAGTTTAGCCCAAATAATTCCAACACCTGAAACTTTTATATTTTGGTCCTTTTTGAAAACTTATTTTACAAATAGACCCCTGAAAAAACTTAAACCGGAAATGGTCCTTTTTGGACGCCAGAGTGGCTGGCGCCGTACCCCAACATGGCGGCGCCAGCCACACTGGCGCCGTGCCCGTGCCACCGTGGCAATAGGGCTATCGTGGAGGTGCTGACTAGGCTGAAGAGGGCGCCAGCCAAAGTGGCGCCGCCCCTCATACCACGGCGCCAGCATGGCTGGCGCGCCCCTCCTCTACGGGCCCCACCAACTTTCTCCCTCCCCTAAAAATTTTTGCCCTGTTCTGCCTCCGGGCAACGGCTGGCACCCCCCCTCCCTCGACCGCGGCGCCAGGGTGGCTGGCGCTCCCCTCCTCCCCACATCGAAGCCCTTCTGCCTCCGGGCCTCGGCTGGCGCCGCCCTCATGGACCACGGCGCCAGGGTAGCTGGCGCCACCCTCCCCCAGCCCGAAACCCTTCTGCCTCGCGGCACTGGCTGGCGCCGCCCTCCCCAACCGCGGCATCAGGGTGGTTGGTGCCGCCCTCTGCCTCCCTGCAAATTGAAGATCCATATTGCACAAATGTACCAATTCACAGTTCGCAATTCAAATCACAATTCACAGATTCGTACAGACTAAAACAGATTCCAATTGCACAAATCACAATTGCAAAAGTCCATCACATAGTCCTCACATAGTTCATCACATATTCCACACATCAAACAATGCAAAAAGTCCATCACATATCCCACACATCAAACAATGCCAAAAGTCCATCCTATATTCCACACATGAAACAATGTCAAAAGTCCATCACATAGTCCTCACATAGTCCATCACATTTTATATCACATAGTGCACCACATATGTCATACTACCAACCAACAGATTAACTTCATACAAATTACTTCTTCCGTTGGCGCCGAATTGCTTGCGAGCCCGGAGTGTACCTACATTTGAAAATCCAATGTTTAAAACATTTTAAAAACAAAATAAGGGAAATCAAATAACATTTGAGAATGGTAAGCTCATTTTACCTCTTTTTCGCTGCCCGAGTGGATCGCAAGTTGTATTGCGTGGGTTGCGTCCCCTGAGGCGCGTCGGGAAGCTGTGACATGTCTATCTCCTCGTCGTCTGGTGCGACGTAGTCGTCATCCTCCTCGTCCTCGTCGTCATCGTCGTCGCTAGGTGGAGCCGGCGCCTTCCCCTTTCCCCTCCCTTGCTTAATGCGTGACGACGACGAGCCACCAACTCCTTCACGCTCTTCTATCCTGATGGAGTGTCGAGCCATACTTGGACGCGCGGATTGAGGTAGTGGTAGTGGTAGTCTCCCCGGTTGGTACACGTCGTCCAATCCAACCGACCTGCAACCTAATTTTGCTGCAAGTTTCCGGCACCTTTGACGAACTTTCTGCATTTCAAAAAAAAAAAAGAAGTTTGTTAGGCATAACTCAAGTAATGCAAAGTGCTAAATAAATTTTACCTCTAAAACATTGCGGAGTGTGTTCTCCGTGTCCTCACCACCCCTCGGAGCTTGGAGGGCATGCCCCATTTCATTCACACTCTTGAGGAGCTCTCTCGACTGAAAGCGTGAGAAGATATATGTTAGGGTCTAGGGTGCAAATGGAAATAACTTTGACAAATGCAAGAAAACTTACGACTTTGTCTCTAAGTGGGGCGTGCTCCATTTGATATCCAACTCTAGTCCGGACATCATAGGGATTCCGCCCCTCATCGGAGTCGCGGTCATCCTCTATGTCGGCTTCCGTCCAAGTAGGGCGGAGGAACAGTCTATATGTCCTATGCAGCCAACGAAGATACTCTGAGAAAAGATGATTTTGGTGTATAGTCTCGATGTACCTGTCGTTCCTTCCGGCTGTCCTCCATTCATCAATGTATCTATTATGCTCTAGCCCCCAGTCTTTCACCTTCTTTGTTCTCACCCTGTCATACCTAGACAAGTAGAAGGTGATGAAACAATAGTGAGCATCGACAAGGGTTAAATGGTACAAAATTGAACATTGACAATGAAAGCAAACAAAGATAAGAAATATTTACTTGTGTAATTCAACTCCAGTTGAGATGTCCTCAACCGGCCAATCTTGTTTCTTCCCGAACTGTCGCATGACACGGTGTGGAAGGTGGTACTCAACTGCCCAGAAACAAATCAATGGGCACTGGTACATGAAATAGTCAGAGTCTCGATTGCACATCAAGTTCAGGGTCAGGCTTGAAGCCTCATTTGTGTGGTATGGTAACCACTCAATCTGCAAAAGTTGAAGAGATGTCGTTGGTTAGTATCTCAATTAAAGAAGTAAATGTCTAACTAGAAGTGATATTGGAAGTACTTACATGTTGAGGCTGTAAGCAGTCCATCTCATTGACATAATGCTTGTATGCCACATCCCAGTGAGCATGTGCAGTGGCAGTACTCTCAAAAAGGTAGGCCACTGTCTTCTCCATGTCTGGCTCATTGTAGTACCAAGGAGTGAAGCTTTGCCTCCACTTAGGCCTTCCAACCGGTAGTCTTAACCACATCCATATCTGAATCAATAGCACACAACCACTCATGTTGGATGATGGTGCCTGACGACAACAGGCCTCACAGAGCTGTCTATATGTCCACGCCAACACTGCTGAGCCCCAACTGAAACGGCCCAGATCACCAAGGTTGGCGACCAAAGGAATCCATATCGCCGAAGCAATGTCACCCCCAGCATCAGGAAACAGAACCCCTCCCAACAAGTGCAAGATGTATGCACGGGCATAACACTCAACACGCCATGGCTCAGCATCGTCGTCAAGATGTGAGAAGTTCTGACTCAGCCAAGACAGGGGTATTCCATTCTGCTTCTTCTTCCCCCCTTGCCCCTGCTCAATGTTCAGTGGAATGCCAAACAGCTGCTGCACTTGTGCATGCCATCCAGGAGTCTCTGTCCTGCCCGTCACGGCATGCCCCCGTAATGGGAGGGCCAAGATCATAGCCACATCCTGTAGAGTGATGGTCATCTCACCACTGGGGAGGTGGAAGCTGTGTGTCTCAGGCCTCCATCTGTCCACAAGTGCTGTCAACGCAGGAGCGTTGAACACTGGCATTCCTCTGCTCACGACCAAGGCCACCCCGAGCAACCCGGCAGCCCTTAGGTACGGGATGTACCTATCGTCGAACACTAGGGGAGCATGAGCTCTGACTCGGAGCGGTTGAAGTACCTGCATTAGCAATTGTAAATCAATTAGTTAATATAATGTCAAATACACGCTACCGATACTTATTGACGGAGCGTGGGGCTCCTCACCGGGAGACCGCGTAGGCCCCCCTTTGCCGGTTCGGCCGGGGACTCAGGGTGAGATTCTAAGCTCTCTGTATGTGGAAGGTTCGCGAGACAGGAAACACACAAGACACGGGCGATGTATACAGGTTCGGGCCGCTGAGAAGCGTAATACCCTACTCCTGTGTTTTGGGAGATCTGTGTATGAAGGAGCTACAAAGTATGAGCCAGCCGCTCCCTTGTTCTGGGTTCCCTATCTGGAAAAATCAGTCCCCTCTCTCAGTGGGCTAGGTCCTCCTTTTATATCTTAAGGGGATACCACATGCACCATTTCTCTCTTTTTTGTGGGGACTTACCCTACCTTTTCATAAATGGACGGAGATTTGTATAGTTGCCGTCCGAGTCATCTTCTGATGAGACGACCCACAACTACCTCCACTTTCGCCGGGAGCAGGTGCGACGTGGAATCGTGGCTGTCTGCTGACGACATGACCGGTGTCAGACCCGTCACGTCGGTCATTCTTGTGCACCACGTGTCAGCTTAGCAATCTACATGTTCGCCCTTCTTCACACAACATCTTGCCTGTAATGGTTAGGATGAAGCCTGGCATATATCTGACCAGGACTAACGTGCCATCTCTGGGAGGTAACACGCTAGCTCCAGCTGGGGACGAGCGCCTAGAAGCCCTCGTCCTGACGGGATGGGGCGAGGCGTGCGTCAGATCGCCTGTCGCCACCTAACCCGCGATCTGACCGGTCTGTGACTGGTCATAGACCGGATAAACGAGTGCACTGCACTGTGTTACATGCGGCGTGACACGCTCAGCCAAACCGCAATAAATGTGGTTAGGTGAGCCCCACTGTGCTCACCTAACCCATACACGCGGAGCAAAAACCCACGAGGGGTCGGGGTGCCTCGGCCCTCGGGGCCGAGGCGGGTGTGGCCCGACCCCCTCGGGGGGACTAAGAGGAGGGCGAACACATCACCCTCGGGCCCGACGTCCCTCGGGGGTGCCAGGCCACGTGTGCGATTGTGTCTGCCTCAAACCTCTAGTCATGATACTCCTGATCCCATGTTACCGACAGTAGCCCCCGGCGTTATGCCAGGGCGATCGCCCTCTTTAAGGGAAACGGTCGGGCGTGACGCCACTCCTAAGGCCTGGTGACAGGTGGGACCGGTCTCCACAATTGGGCAGAAACCCAACGGTCACAAACCACGCACATCGGCAATGGTAACTCGGCTGTCAACAATGAGCAGTCTCTTCAAGACTGCCACATTACTTGAGTAGCACACGAATCTTGACATGGCGATTCGTTTCGTCTGGAGATATGGTAACGTCGCTTCGGTCGGCGAGCGTAATTAACGCGCGCACGATATGATCTATCTCGACTGCCACAACCGCATATCCACCTCATGCGCCGCAAGCGGGCGAATGGGATTAGTGGAAGCGTGGGCGCGAGAAACGAGGGGGCGAAATAGTGGGCGCGAGAAGCGAGGAGCCGGGCACAGCGTTGGCAAGAGTATAAAGGCACTGAGGAAGGGATCTGTTTCCTTCCTTTCGCCATTATTCCCCTTGTCTTCGCCGCTTGCGCCCTAACTCCTTCTTTCCTGTGCCCTACCTTCGCCACACGCGCTCGCTCTTAATCTTCTCTTTCTCCGGCGCCATGGCACGGGGCTCCGCTCTGCTTGATGGTAGCGTGCTGCCGCCTTCCCGCATCGTGAGTGAGAGGCAGGCTGGGCTGTCGCGCCGCTTCATGCCGGAATCTGCCACCGGCCGGGAGATAGTCACGCTGGGCGAGGGACGCCCGGCGCCAGACTACCCGGGGCGGTCCGTCTTCTTTCTCCCCTTTGCAATGGCAGGGCTGGTTCCGCCATTTTCTTCTTTCTTCATGGATGTTCTGGAGTTCTACGATCTCCAGATGGCGCACCTCACCCCCAACGCGGTGATGACATTGGCCATCTTCGCGCATCTGTGCGAGATGTTCATTGGGGTGCGCCCATCTCTTCGGCTGTTCCGGTGGTTCTTCACCGTGCAGTCGGTGTCGCCGCCATCGGTAGTCGGTGGCTGCTACTTCCAGCCACGGGGGCCGGTGCTGAACCGCTACATCCCCTGCGCCCTCCGCAAGAAGTGGGACGACTGGAAGAGCGACTGGTTCTACACTCCCCTCGCCGACGAAGCGCGCCTCCGACTTCCGAGCCAGCCCCCGGCGCAGGCCTCCAGCTGGCGGGCGCCGGTAGATCTGGGGGATGGCTATGACGCCGTCCTCGACCGCCTGGCGGGCCTGCGATCCCAGGGGCTCACAGGGGCCATGGTGTACGGCGACTACCTCTGTCGTCGGATTGCGCCGCTCCAGCGACGCGCTCGGGGCGCCTGGGAGTACACCGGGTCCGAAGACTTCACAAGGACCCACCAGGGAGTGAGATGGGACTGGGCTCCTGAGGACTTCAAGATATTGGTCCAACGGGTGCTGAATCTCAACTCCGTAGAGGCGGCCCTCATTCCCCGAGGAATCCTCCCCCTCTGCAGCGATCCAGACCGCGCCTCCATCCTGACCATTATGATGGCGGTTGGGGCCTCAGAGGAGCGAGCTCCAAAGGGCCACGACGGCGCGGGCGGGAGCCGCAGGGGGGAACAATCTACCCCGAGAGGGGGTCGTGCTTCTGGGTCCCGCGACAGGGGCCCGGGGAGCAGCCGCCCTGCCGACGCCCGGGGGAAGAGGAAGCAGGGAGGAACACCTCCCCCATCTCCTCCCCGAGGGGGCGGGGCGGCGCGTGCCAGCAGCAGGCGCCCGGAGGGGGCCGCGCCAACATCGCAGCCCGAGGGGGAGCGCAAGAAGAAGCGGCCCCGTAAGATGGGGGAGACAGAACCATCTCGGGGAAACCTCATTTCCCCTCCAAAGTGGTCGTTTAACCGACCTCCTCGCAGGTTCATCTCTCACCCATCGTGGCTGTATTCATTCTCTCAACGCGAGTTTTCACTCACCCACCTTGTTCGTCTTCTGGTTTTTTTTCTTTTGTTTCAGCGAGATCCCGTCGCGTCCCTCCCGCCATTCCAAGTCCGGCCAGTCTGAGGCCGAGGATCCGGCGGCCGCAGAGGCCCTCAGGCGGGAATCTGACCGGCGAGAGGCCGTGGATCGCCTACGGGAAGCCAAGGAGGCCGCCCAGGAGGCCGCCCGGGCTCGCCAGGCCGAGGAAACCGCTCGGGAGGAGGCCGCCCGGGCCCGCCAGGCCGGGGAAGCCGCTCGGGAGGAGGCCGGATTTCGCCAGGACGAGGCGATGGCGACTTCCGAGGCAACTCGTGACGAGGCCGCGGGCGCGTCGCTTGGGCCCACTCCCTCGGGCGACGCTCAGGCGACAACTTCCGGGGCAGCTGGCGACGAGGCTGCGGGCGCGTCGCTTGGGCCCACTCCCTCGGGCGACGCTCAGGACCAAACGGGTCCGGGGGACATCCCCGAGTCCGGCACTTCCATCGGCGGCCCGAGCCGCGTGGCATCCTCTCCAAGGCGGCTCTTCCCCACGCCTTCTATCGCCCCACTGAACGCAGAGCCCCTTCTGCAGGCCTTGGCCGCCGCAAACACCACGGTGTTGGATGGGTTAAGTGCCCAGGTAGAGGTCCTACAGGCAGAGCGGGCGGAGCTCGACGCCGCGTGGGCGCGTGTCGAAGAGGGGCGACGCTCGGTGGAGGCCATGGTGGAGGTGGGCCGTAAGGCTCACCGCCGACACGTCTCGGAGCTTGAAACTCGTAAGAAGGTGCTGGCGGAGATCGCCAAGGAAGTGGAGGAGGAGCGGGGGGCTGCCCTCATTGCCACCACCGTGATGAACGAGGCGCAGGACACCCTCCGCCTTCAATACGGGAGCTGGGAGGCGGAGCTAGGGAAGAAGCTCGACGCCGCCCAGGGGGTGCTTGACGCTGCCGCTGCCCGAGAACAGCGGGCGGCGGAGACCGAAGCGGCGTCCCGGCGGCGTGAAGAGGCCCTTGAGGCGCGCGCCATGGCGCTGGAAGAGCGCGCCTGCGTCGTGGAGAGGGATCTGGCGGACCGCGAGGCCGCCGTCACCATCCGGGAAGCAACGCTGGCGGCGCACGAGGCTACCTGCGCCGAAGAAGAGTTCACGCTCCGCCTCCGCGAGGACGCGCTCACTGAGCGGGAGCGAGCTCTCGAGGGGGCCGAGGCCGCGGCGCAACAGCTGGCGGTCAGCCTGTCCCTCCGCGAGGCAGCGCAGGAGGAGCAGGCGCGTCGCAATCTGGAAGGTGCCCGCGCCGAGAGGGCCGTACTGAACCAACGGGCCGCTGAGCTCGAGGCCCGGGCGAAGGAGCTGGACGCGAGGGCGCGCAGCGGCGGGGCGGCCACGGGCGAAAGCGACTTAGCCGCCCGCCTCGCAGCTGCCGAACGCACCATCGCCGATCTGCAGGGCGCGCTGGACTCGTCCGCCGGGGAGGTCGAAGCCCTCCGCTTGGCAGGCGAGGTAGGGCCCAGCATGCTTTGGGACGCCGTCTCCCGCCTAGATCGCGCCGGTCGGCAAGTGGGCCTCTGGAGAGGGCGGACCGTAAAGTATGCCGCCAACCAGGGAGGCCTCGCCCAGCGCCTCTCGAAGATGGCCGGGGCTCTCCAACGGCTCCCCGAGGAGCTCGAGAAGACAATTAAGTCATCCTCGAGGGACCTCGCCCAAGGAGCGGTGGAGCTCGTCCTGGCGAGTTACCAGGCCAGGGACCCCAATTTCTCTCCATGGATGGCGTTGGATGAGTTCCCTCCTGGGACCGAGGACCGCGCACGCGCGCAGGTCCGGGATGCCGCCGACCATATCGTCGACAGCTTCGAGGGCTCGGCCCCTCGGCTCGCGTTCGCCCCCAACTCCGACGAGGAGGGCAATGCCGGTGGTGCAGACGACAGTGACGACGAGGCCGGCGATCCAGGCGCATCGGATTGAGCCCCCAGACCCCCGCCATTCTTCAGTTTTTTCTTCTTTTCTTTCTTCTAAGGCCTTCGGGCCTCTTTTTTGTATAGATCAACTTAATCTGTAATCAAAAATGAAGAAATTTTTGTGTTAATTTCATCTTGCTGTGAGTATGAGATGAGGATGATCTGTGCCGTGGTCCTTTTGTGTCTTAGCTTGAATAAGGGCTTGTG